CAGTACAACTGGAGGAAATGGCTTAGGGTTTTCAGAAACGCCAGCAGAGAGGATTCCAACAGACCAATAGAGAGAATAAAGAGCCTCGCACAAGATCCCTGTCAGTGGTGTTGCAGATTTAGGGGACCGACTTGTCTAATTCTGTCGGTCTGCCCTGTTTTGACTTTGCATGCGATTGGCGCCTCCCAGCCTGAGACACTGTGAGTCTATTTTGCAGAAAGGCCAAAAAAGGGGGGGGCCAGACCCAAGGCAAAGTCACCGGGGAGTGAAGCGCATCTCCCGCAGATTCCGAGAAGATTACGAACCCCACAATGCAAATGGTGAAAATGAGCCTGGCCCCCACATTCTTACTACTACTAGTGCCATGGCATGGGTGCATTTGGTACCGTCACTCCGGACACTGGCAAAGAGAAGGGCAATCAATATCTGGCGCCGGGCGGGGCAATATGCATACATGAAGAAAATCAAGAAAACAAAAAGAATACACTTCTCGTACTCGGTGTTAATGGATCTTGAAGCAACGTATACTTTCGGGCGTTACCAGCCCTGGAGTGTACATATTATCGCAGGGGAATCCCTGTAATTCACCCCGGTGCGCATATCCTTGTCCTGCCCTGTTCTGCCCGGCGGCGATCACCCACCATTTCGGTCATTCTTGTGCATTTCTGTTTTTAGAACACCTCTCACCACCCACCATTTGTCGCCGCAACCACATGGATTACAGGGACCGGCGCCTACAGAGAGACATACATAGAAGGTTCACTGCCATAAGGCTTAGACTTACACAGATCTACCTACTCCAGACGGAGCACCTCGTCGAAAGAAGACCACATCCCGACGATAGAAATAGAATCATGTCTCTCCATGGCATGGCATCGCATGGCCCCTACATTTGCATGTATTACAGGCGGTACCAGTCAAATACAGCCTCACAAATTAGGATATGTCGTCTCAATTTGGTCAATGCGACAACACAACCCACCGAGCAAAACGAACGCTTTAGGCAGTCCGTACTGGTACCGAATGTAGTCGAGGTGGAGGTCGAGGCCAGAATCTGGTCTATGCTCGGGACTGGATGATCTACGGACCTCCTCCGTGGTCCACTCACTCACTCCCAGGGGTTGTGTTGAGTTGGGCTCAATCGGGGTAAAGGCAAGGACAAGGCGAAATCGTTTGATTGCACGGAAAGGGAAATTAGGAGCGACCTTTCTCCCATTTCTCCGGGGACCTTTCGGGATTAAACGTTCTTGCATATTAGGGATGATGGGACTGTACTCCGTAGTCTCAGCCTCGTCGAGCCTTATCAAGGAGTTTGTGGGGAAAGGGACAGATGGAATGGGATGGGACCCTCATGGGAGTGGAAAATAGGGTAGGGTTGTTATGGAGTTGGTTATAAAGTAGGCTTGCGAACCGATTGCCGACGCGGGAACCGTTCTACGGGTTGCCTTGGGGTTGTTGCGGTGCGTTGCGTTTACCCCGATTACTGATTTAGGCATTGTGTTTTTTTAGTGCACTGACTGAGATGGGTTTAGGCTGGGAAAGGAGAGATTTGGGGTGAGCTAGGCGCTTTGAACCATGGTTATGGCCGGACTTATCCCGGTGTTTATTCAGAGATAATATAAGTGTTGATCTAAGGGTACCATAAGGTATGGGGAAATTAGTTCATCGATGGCGGAATCACGGAGATGGCCCGGTCCAAACTTGGAACATTTTTATGGAAATAGAAATAATCTGTCATCTTGCTTTGCTTTACCTGACTGACTGTGGCTAGGTCATGAGCTTGGCCGACCCAACCGTGTGGCACCGGAAATTGATTGAGTTACTATTATACTCCCTGCTCTGTACGGAGGGAGTACTGCGCCAACAATTTGAGTGATCCGCCAGATTTTGCAGGCTCGGGGTCGCCGTAGGTCAGAAGCGTAGAGCAAGGGACCGCGCCACAGTGAGAATCCACACCCATTTTGGGCCAGAGCCTATACGAATTACAGTACGGAGTACGGAGAGTAGGGTTGATGACATCCCGGGGCAGTGGTCCTGGCTTATTTGTGGGGTGGTACCCTAATCATCCTGTGCTTAGCGAGCAACCCTATCAGCGATCGGAGAGGCCGTTCACTTGTTCGAAACATTGGAAATTAATTTGGGGGCGGAAATGTGGTCCCATCATCAGGGTGAGCGACCGGAAAACTAAGATGGTCTGAATGGCGGGGAGGGGCTTATTGGGTCGCTGGCGCCGTCTCATCACAAGGATTGTGCAGGGTTGCAGGACCCGAGATCCCTATCCTCGGTGTTGACTGGCGGGTGGACAGGGAGTCAAGGTTTCTCAGCCTTGCGTTTCAGAGAAGCGAGATCCGCTATTTGTCGTTACGCCGTTTGGCGTGGTCTGGCCTCGCCCTTTCGGACTGATCAGTGGTAATGATTGCATTGCATGAGGGACCTGACAGCGAAGTGACAGTTCCGACAGGGACCACTAATTATCCTGAATTGAGGGTTCAACACTGCCACGGCGATCCATCATTGACGTGGACCCCGTGCAGGCCGTAGGGCGAAGCCAAGCCCAAACCCGCGCGCTCGTACCATCTCCCTGTTGGGTGTAGCTTGGCAGTAGTGCACGGAAGGATGCATTTTCATGTATGTGTATACATGGGTCCGTCCGCTGTAGGGCAGTAATACGCGTGCCGAATGAGGTCATGTCGGGATCGCCGATCCCAGCGGTGAACGCAATCCCTGCTGCGCCTCAATTATGTTGAAGTCCCACTGAGAGAGAGACATGAGACCAATGGGAGATTAGTTCCTCTTGGAACCGCATGATTGATTGGCCAATTCTGTGGCTAGGGTCAGGGTCGTGGCTGTCGCCGAGAGAGTCGGGGCCTCTCTCTCACCGACCGGTGGCAGGTCGTCTGGTTCGTGACGGCTACTCCGGGCCGTGGTGTCTCCTGTCTCCTCTTAGGGCTGTGAGGACATGGCGGGATTGGGTGGGCGGTCTTTTCCGGATCAGTGGCTTAGGTATTGTCGGGGAATACTGCAAAATCACGGTTGAAAGCAGGCAAGAAGGCTTGCTGGCTTGTTTCCATCTAGCCCTGTAAGGTGTGTACTGCATAGCCTATGTATGCAGGGAGCTCTGTTTTCTTGTCTGAATGTCACGAAATTAGAGATCCATGATGCCGTCAGACCAGAGTTGGATCGGATCGAGTACCGAGGGTACAGAATATCATGCTAGCTAAACCCACACATTTACACCACCACTTCACACTCACTACCTAGTATCAGCATGTGAGCGCGATAGGGAATGGATCTCGCACCCATACTCTAGCTCTATCTTCTTTTTCTCTCAGCTCAACCCGACGGTAAACCCCAAACTCCAAGACCAAAGCCAACCCCAACCCTGGCCAGCATTAATTGCAACCCTGGGAATACGGGGGACGGCCCAAATGGCAACGAGCGCATGCGGCTCTCGCCAGGGGAGAGGGAGAGGATCGGATCACATTGCCTGGACCGAGGGATCGTCAGTTGAAGGGGTACGAAGGGGAATAGCGAAAAAGGTGGAGGTCCCCGGTGGTACAGAACGATGCCAATCAATCAACGGAGAAGGGCGCGATCGTCCGTCCCGAGCGGGTGGACGTAACGCGATTTGACTGCCAGATCGTGAATGGGGCAATATGAGTGGGTGAAACGGGGAGTGAGGGTCAAGGAGGACCCCACTGCGTGTTTCTTGGAGCGATGGCGGTTCGGCGCTGTGATTTGTTTGTGGTTGGGGGGGGAGTCTAGTGGACTTGACGAGTCGACCCGGGGTGACGGGTTTTGCTCACAGCCAACGGATAGGGTGATGGGAGGAGAACCTGTACAGATGTGGTACCCTGGTCAAATTTGCGAATTTCTTTGTCTGAAGTATGTAACGCTGACGATCGACAATGCGTTGTGAGTAGGTACGGAGTAGAGAGGGTGAGTGTGTGTATAATACAATACCCAGGTACCTCCAGGAAGTGTGGGAGTGGCAGGAGATCAAATATCATGATCCACTCTGACAAATCGACTTTAGTGTTGCTTAGTTTACACAAAGTACACGGACTCGCCGATGCCTAATAAATGAGGGCGATCTCCTCCGTACAGTATACTGTAGTACCTACAGTATACTCGGTCGTACCCGACTCAGGGCTATTGCTATACTATCCTCCCCTACTACTAGTACTCTACTACTACTCTCTACCCCGTACTATGACCGCATAACTATGGACGCCTGAGGAGGCGGAGCTGGACTTGAGTACTAGCTATGTTGGGTATTAGTATTAGTATTCATACTGACTAGGTCAGATACACTCTAGTACTAAACATACAGAGTAGCTAAACTAAGCTACTGCACGCACTGAGCAACACGAACTGCTGCGCCCACTTTGGTTCGCGTACTGTCATTTTACACACGTCATACACCTGATCTTCTGTTCTTTTACCCTTTTGGCTTTTATTACTACTTTTTATTTTTTTTAATTTTTAATCTTTTCTTTTCTGATTATTTGCATGGAATTTTAATTTTTATTCCATTTAATATTCCATTTAATATTCCCCAATATTATTATTCCCTTTTATTCCTATTATTATTATATTATTATTCTATTATTCTATTTTATCATTTTAATTTCCATAGATCCTCTCACTTCATGACTTTATAATACTCTACTCTTCCCCCGATGATCTTCATGTCATACTTCCCCATCACCACGCAAGGGCCTTTATGAATCCGTAACCCAACCTCATCTCTCTCCCCCTCTCACCTCTCCCTTGCCTCACCATTCATCATCGCACGTTGCCTTTTTCCTCCGAGTTGGCACGTTGATCTGGCCGGGCCGCAATTCTAACTTTATCCTGGTATTGTCCCATTCCCACTGCATTCTTGCATCACAATTCCATTTTCATTTCCACCCCCGTACTAACCCTGACACGATATAGAGTCTCGACTCACCTGAGCTCCGCTCCAATTGCGCTCGCTGTGAAGAACCAAAATCAAAATGCTCGCCGTTGATTCTCATTCTCGTTCCAAGCCTTCTTACTACCAGTCTATGCCAATGGATCCCAGCATGGTTGATATGTTCTCATACCCCATGGACGGTATGTCCTACCAGCAGCACCACCAACACCAACATCACCACCATCAGCAACAACCCCAACCGGATTACCGCCTGGCATACCTCGATGCTCCTATCTATGAGGACCTCCAGAAGCATCAGTTCCCTTCCATGCCCACCACACCCCCCTCAATCTCCACTACCCAGTCTGAGCCCCAAATTCAAATCCCCACCGGCTCGACTGCCTCAGGACCTTCCATTGCAAGTGCTCCCTCCTCCGTCATCAGTTCTCCATACTCTGGTGCTCAACAAGTCTTCCACGATAATTGGGTGAACACCAACCACGGACTGGGCCTTCCTGCTGCTGTTATGGGTGATCTCTTCTCCTCCCATGATTACATGGGACAGGTGGAGATGGATGGATTGTACCAAGAAAAATTCCCCGATCCTTTTGTTGGTATGTGGCGCATATTTATTTTATTTATTTATATTCTGCCTCAATGTGACTTTTATACTTGCGAGCCATGGAACGCTGACACATTCCCTTCTGTTTCCGCAGATCCTTCTCTCATCCAACCAGTCCACGCCAACCCCAACTTCACCCCAACAATCTCCTACCCGGAAGAGGGTGCCACCTATTCCAACATCACCCAAAATTTCCTGCCACACTCACCTGCCGCTTCTCCAATTCCCTACGACCATATCGACCACAATGGCTCGCCCCTCCTGGGATCTGGTGCCTCCCTTGCTATGCCAAATTCGCATTCGCGAACTGTCTCCGTCTACGACCGCCGATCCTCCATCTCCTCGATTCACTCCCGCCGCTCCCAACAAAGCCCCGCTCTCAGCAGTGTCGAAGCGGACGACGAGGTCAAGGAAAAAGGCCGTTGCCCCTTCTCCGACTGCGGTCGCATCTTCAAGGATCTCAAAGCCCACATGCTTACCCACCAATCCGAGCGCCCTGAGAAATGCCCCATCATGACCTGCGAATACCACACCAAGGGCTTCGCCCGCAAATACGACAAGAACCGCCACACCCTCACCCACTACAAGGGCACAATGGTCTGCGGGTTCTGCCCGGGACCCGGTTCCCCCGCCGAGAAGAGCTTCAACCGCGCCGATGTCTTCAAGCGCCACCTGACCTCCGTCCACGGCGTCGAGCAAACTCCTCCCAACTGCCGCAAGCGCAGCCCCAACGGATCTACCAAGAAGGGCACGAATTACAGCCCCGACGCCACCGGAAAATGCTCCACCTGTTCCGTATTGTTCAGCAATGCGCAAGAATTCTACGAGCATCTGGACGACTGTGTTCTGCGCGTTGTGCAGCAAGAAGAACCCTCCGAGGCAATCAACCAACAGCGACTGGCCGAAGTCGCCGCCGACGAGGAGGTTCAGAAGACAATGGAAAAGCATCAATTGCTTGATGCGGCTGGCCCGCTCGAAGACGATAACGACTCTCATGACGAAGATGACCTAAATGACCTCTGGCGCGCCCGCCTCTCCTCCAGCCACAAATCCACCAAATCCTCTTCCAACTCCTCCCGCCCCATCATCGGCTCCTCCAACGCTGTCTCTAAAAACACCGCCAAGCCCCGCGCCGTCACCCGCCGCCGCAATAACCGCGGCAACTACCCACAATCCTGGGGCTGCCCTAATAGCACCATGAAGACGAAGAAGCGGGTCCTCTGTGTCTTCGATGGCCAGCGCCGCCTGTGGAAAGACGAAATGATGCTGAACAACGAATTCGAAGTCCGTCTTCAACTGCCCGGTGGCGCGGGTGATGGTACCCACCGCAACGCATATGTCACTGATCTCGACGTCGAGACCATGAAGCGCGCAGAGGGTGTCCTCAATGCGACAGATGCTGAGCGCGGCCCCTGGATGGATGGCCCCGTGCCCCATCTGATGGGCCAGCCAGCCATGATCATCCCTGAGATGGGTAGACAGGACGATGAGATCTCGATCAACGAACTCATGGCTTGAACATGAAGCACCTATATCCTCCTTCTTTCTCCCCCCTTCTTCCCCAGCCTCCTCGGCTTGGCCTCGCTCTGCCTAGCCCAGAAGCGCAGGGTAGAGTCGGCTTGTATTCTTTCCTCTTTTTTCATGTTCTATAGCAGTGGCGTCTTGAGTCGTTTTCAGCATGCTACCATCGAAATACTGCTGTGGTATCTTTGGCTTATGATTGTGATTGTGATACCTCACAGGATTGGTCCTGGATGTTTTTTCTTCTTTTTCCGTTTTCTTTCCTATTGTCGTTATGAATCTCCTTTGTCTCTCTATCTCTCCTATAGCTTTTCAGCTCAGCTCAGCTCTCAGCTTTCTACTCAGTTTTATCACGGTTCTCTTCCGCTGGTCGGTGAGCGAAAATATGAAACGATTTAATGGGATCTCTATGAAATTATGCATCAATGTAATCAATCATCCTTTGTTCTCTCATTCACTTTATCACGGCGTTGCTTTCTGCATTTTCCAACCAGATTTTGGCGAAAGAAATCTACTTCTTCCTCACTGTCCAACTAATATGACTGTCAAATACAGTATTCTACAATTGAAGACAACTTCATAATGCCAATTCACTGGATTCACTCTATAATGGTATAGTCGATCACACTAGCAGTACCACCAGCCCGCCGTCTCCGAGTCTCACACTGAAGACAATCACACCCATCAACAGCAAGATCAAGCAAAGCCCACTTCGCCCCAAGAACGTCAAACGCCCTCTCAGTAGCCTCGCCGCACGTCGTACTAGGCCTCACCCACTTCATTTCCACCAAAGAAAAGTCATCGCAATGCCGCGCAAATATATCAACTCTACTATCATGAGCATGCAACGTAAGCCTACCAATCTGCGAACCAAGATGCCCCATCATCAAGACAGCGCGTGAAGCCATCCTATCCGTCTCGCGCAGCGCGTCGCTCAGCGCAATCATGACTTCCTGCAGAAGCTCGCAGCGCTTCTTTAGGCAGGATGGGACGTCGGCTCTGTCATTTTTCTGCGCGCTTTTGGCGCGCTCGACCAGGGTATCTAGGTCTTTTGCGCAGTCGGATAGGTCCTTTGATATGAGGTCCCTGTTTCGGGTTGGGGTGTCTAGGGTTTTGCTGAGGGCTGCTAGGTCTTCGGAGAGGTGGTGGCGGAGGCTTTCGAAGGGGTTGAGGTAGACGTTTGATCCGGGGGCGGGCATGATGGGTTGGTGGGGAGGATGTATGAAATCCAATATAGTGGAATGGAAAACAGGGTAATGTAACGCAAGATTATGTGCATCTAGTGCAGGGTGTGCTATGATGCTTGAGGTCTTTGTATACTCTTGAAAGCTGCTGTTCGATGCTCTGTCGATGATGGGGGTATTTACGAGTATTTATCTCTTGGACTCGAGATCTGAAGAGTTCCAGTTTCTTGATCGTCGAGGACTGAATATAGCTACAAAACAAAGGTGTTGTAGATTAGGGTGTCGAGATAAAGCCAGTGACTTGAAACTGCTTCTATCCTTTCAAGTTGTCATGGTAAGAATGAACTTTGTCTTTTCAGTGAAGCATCTGTCCACCCCTCTCTGGGTATAAATTCAATACTGGACTAACCGCGAATTGTTTGAGTGGCATTGTTTACTCGTCAACGGTCAAAGGCATTATTATGTGGTGAGCTTAAAAAAGAGTCTCATTGTTTACGGAATAGATCCGAATCATACGTAGTGGGAAACAATGACAGTACCCCTGAGCTCTTTGTCCTGTGCCCGAGGGGTAAAAGAAGCCTGTAACAAGCGGTGATTATGCTAACTATCTTCTGAATGGGTTACTAAAATTTCTGTTCTTGTATGCTTCTTCAAGTAACGCTTAATACTCGATTGCCCCATTGATGCCCAGGTGAATACTCGACGCCATTGGCTCACAGCTTAGCTCGATAATTCAGAACTTTCTCGAACTTCCAAGATTCATATTATACTAAGGCTCGGAATAAGCGTGGGCAATGTATTTGGAGGCAATGCATTCAAGTTTGATCCTTTGTAAGAATTTGCGTTGCTAAGTTTGCTCGCGAATATTGAAATCACTTGTATAAGTCTGTCAAACTCTAGGGCTCCTCATCTACGTGACTTAGTCTTTCAAGTTCCTTCTAACTGAAAAGCCCTGGAGGATCATCAACTTGAAGGCAGATCTAATTATTTATGTTATCTTAAGATACAATTGTACATCCATTATAGTCGATAACTTTTGAATCTGGAGCTACTAGTCCATGTCCGAGCCAAGCTTCAAGTTGATTCGTGACAAGGGTAGCATCCATGGATGACAGGGTATACTGGCCAAGAACCATTGCTAAATGTAACGAGCGCTCATGGGAAGCTTGCCAGTAATAGGTTTCTTCCATTAACCGATATATTAGTGGCTGCCAGTGGGTATTGCGGCATCGAGAACCCCGCCATTGTACTCCAGATTATTGGAAAGCTGTCACACGGTCGTGTGAGTGGCCAATACATTCACAGAGATAAGAAATATCATATTTATCCTCAAGAGCTCTGATATTGCGGTAATAGAGATCTATAGTCATACATATCATGGTTTATCACCTTACTACCAACACATATGGTAATTACCTCAGACTGTGGAGGACAGCCGTCGACCCAGTCCCAATGACTGTGACATCTTTGCCTGCAGGAGAGATATCATAGTGAGGCCAGTTTGACGGGAAATAAACGTCGCCGTTGAAAGATTTCAGCTCCTTATCCATAGTACATGGCCTTTGAGATGTCACACCAATGGCGCACACAAGATACTTGCTGCTCAAGGTTGACCCATTTTCGAGACTGACGTCCCATTTATGCGATGACAGGCTGAATTGTGCACCCGTGGCGGTTGTTTCAAACAGAACGTGTTTCCGAATGCCAATCATGGCATCACTGTGGTTCAGAAATTGTCTGATCTCACAATGATCAGGGAAGCAGCTGCTCCATTTCCAAGTGTGCCAGCACTCTGGAATATTAAGCTCTTATGACGGTATGCCGGAATCCGTACGGGTCCCTGGATAGCGGTTCTAATACCAAACACCGCCAATATCTGCCCCTTTCTCCCCAATTTGGCATGTGAAGCCAAGCTTGCGAAGATGATATAGGGCAGTAATACCTCCGAACCTTGCACCGATTATGATTATATCGATGTCAGAGTTGGAATTTTATGTGTCAATTCGCTTCTTGTGATGGTCATGCTGAGACGGTGGATATGTCCACATGTCCTGAAGCTCTTCAGACAAAACTCGAAAGTTAGATTGATACTGTGGAAAATCAAAACCTCTTTTGAATGTGGGGGATCTAACTTGAGGCTTTCGGCTCATCTTCGTTGATAGAAACAGAAAGCGGCCAGATATTTGCTCACATTTACAGACAATTTCCTACGGGTGACTCCGGAATGTATGCGTAAATTCCGCTATCAGGTATCGAATATGGTTAGAAGCTCAAGTTGCACGACCTCACCGAGCTTTGTCTTGTTCTTCTCTATCACCTGCACGTCGGTCTTCTGGGCATCCTCCTATCAGCCTTCAAATGAGCAAGTTTACTCAAACATGACAGTACTCATTCAGAATGCTTCGCCTTCTTCATCTAATATTTTTATACTTAGTTTCTTTGATTTAAATATCACTTACCTCATGCCAGGAATATTACCACCTGTGATGTACGGCATGAACATGACGACCACAATGATGAGTTAGCATTAAGATGTCATAATGAAGTTGCTTCCGAAGACTTAGCGCTAAATAATTGTCCGAGTTTCTATTGGCTGAAACACTATCCGGCCTTTTCTGCCACCATTTTCGAGGGCGATTAAAAGATAAGGGATTGACAGAAGGAAACTACAGCTTTGATTCTAATGATGCTAGGTTCAATGTACAACAAGCGTCGTGGCGCTGGTGGCCTGCGTCGTGATTTTCCTACACGTGATCCTCGTCTGGGTTTTTCGTTCGAGTTTATATTGACTGAAAGTATTTCGCTTCCCCCACCACCAAGTTTCAATAATATATCAAAAGAAAACTGGGTTGAAGTCTAGTAGATGCAAGCTTTCTAATGATAACAAAATGTTTTCCATCCGGGTGTTATGGTGTTTTGGTCAACTGCCTCGATTTGCCCGTTGGACTCATTTGCCTGTTTTCAATCTTCCGTGCCCTTATTGTAATCCTACTTTTCCACTTTTGCGAGAGAATAGTTCGGAAATTCCCTTGTTAACATTCTGATAGTTTATTTTTTAAAGACAAGTTCGCTTTCTTCCCTGTGATGTTGAATCAATGAGAACGGCCAACGACATATGGTAAATGATTCAGGTGCAGCAGTTGAATGCCAAACACCACGTAATATAAGAGTCTTGAAGAGCTTCTTGTGTTCTCAGATAGCCTTGCCCGATATGCATACAGAGTAAAAAGTGCTGTTCATGGTGCTCTCGTGGCAGGGACTCCAAGCAGCCTCCCAATTTCATTACCTTGAAGCCACAGATTGATAGCGTCGTACATCTCAAAAAAGGCGTCATTATTCAGGGTCGGAAGTCCAGGCAGGATTTCGTGCCCCAGTGTCGATTGCGCAAGCCCAAGGTATTGATATCCTTCCGGGTACCGTTTGAGCTGAGTACTGTCGAATGTGGGCACAGACCGGCCATCGACTGGGATAACCTTGTCCTTCTCATATATCAATTTGACATACTGTGTCTTCCATTCCAAATCACCGGATTTCGATGGGACCTTTTTGCAGAAGAAATGGAAGCGGCAGTCGCATTCAATATCCACAGAGCAACCCTGAATATTGAATCGTTGGGTGATGGTCGCTTTCATCTTTCCTACAGCCCGCTGCTCTTTCGGGTTCAGGTCAACAAGCGTGCTATTCTCGCGGTGCATGATGAAGTCGCCACGTTCGCGGCCTTCTTTGGATACCCTGATGAATTCATCCACACTGAGACCACCACTCCATGCTGATCGAGCAGCTTAGTCAATAATTTGATAGAGGAATAGATGTAACCTAGTCAAAGGATCAATCTAGAAAATTGACTTACTCGTCCACACATATCCCTCGTTCTCAACGAATAAATCCCGATAGTTGCTCCACTCAGACGCATCGCGGTATAGAGGCCAGCCTTTGCACAATTCTGACACTAGGAACCGATCAAGTATTTCATCATGGGTTCCATTGATATGGCTGTACACAATTGGTTGCGTGTCCTTTGCAGTGACATTGTATGTCAGGCTTTTTGGCTTCTGCTTTAGCTCTGCTTCAATAATTCCCTCACCCAGCCCGTCTGGTAACCAGAACTTTTTAACCTCCAAACCAACAGAGTCAAGCAGCTTAGTCCACCCTTCGCGGGTGCGCTCATTGCCTGCACACCATACCATCACCATCATGTCCAGCATGGTTTCCAGATACCGGGCGTTTTGGTCCGGAAGGATATGTTCCTCAATTAAGAGCTTAGAGTATCCCTCCTCCATGGCAGCAGCAATGTGTCCAAGAATCACTTTGCAGTTTTCGTCAGACCAATCGTGCATAATGTGTTTCATATAGTAGATGCGAGCGCCTACACTTAGTTAGAGACGTATTGTCGCGGAAAGGAGTGGTGAAAAGGAGCTCGCCTTTAACTGGTTGAGGTTGAAAGAAGTCATGCTTGACTCGCTTGATATCTTCATCCAGAATTTGGATATCCTCGATGACAGCCGGTAGATCTTCAAGGACTAGGTCCCCATGGGCATCGGGGAATCTCTGCCTAAACTCCATCAAATCATGGCCACGGCCCCCGGCAATATCTACTAGCAAGGTACGACCGTCAGTCCTCTCTCCATCCAATAATAGACGCTCAACGGGGAACCAGCTGGTCCAGTACGGGCAATTTGCTCTATGACCTTCCATGTAGGTATTAAAGCGGCTCAGTACCGACGGATTCTGGGCTAACCAGTTCCAGCATGTCAAATCCGTTTTATAGGCATGCTGGAAGGGCCCATCATTTGGATCCTCGGGGTTCTGGTACCCTGTCTTCCGAAGAAATTCCGGTGTCTGTTGAATAATAGGGAGGAAATCCATGAATCTGAGTACACGCATGGCCTCTGTTAGAATCAGTACGCGTTGATAAAGGGGTGGCGGCTCTTACAGAGAGTTTACAGGTCCAATAACAGTCCTTTCAGTCATTTCGTTGGACAAAGCCGATGCCATGTACTTTCCAGGTCCTCTTTCCACAGCAAAATCACCACACACAAGGACACGCATAATCCGCTCTAGTAGACGCGGTATGGGTATTAATTGATTGGATAATGCATTTAGTAAGAGAATACCTGGGACCTACCGACAAGTTGGACACTTGCCCCCTTCCGGGAGGCGAGTTCCCGGCAGGTGACGGATGAGGTGGTCTCGGAGAGCACTAAAAAGATATCAAGATCTAAGGCGACCTTGGCGGCCATAAGGATGGTTGGCTGGCTTTATGATCAATAGGCTGCCCCAATATCATTTGCGGACCAAACATACCGATCCAAACAGTCTGTATATGGCATCTGCCGGCTTTTCTAGCGACCTTGCCAAACTCGTAGCTGCCTCCACGGCACGAACACGATCAACTTCTTTCGCGGTTGCATGATACTCATCAATAGATGCTAGTAAGGCCTTACATAGACCAGAAACAAGGTCCATGTCGATACCTATTTTAGCTCCAGTGGCCATGTTAGAAGGTAGACCTTGTGTCTTCACTTGTCTATGCTGCACTATTTTGCTGTCAAGCGGCATATATTGCTGGTTGGATTTCTTAGCCTTATAGATGTCTGTTTCTGCTTTTACAGACAGTGGGATCTGAACTAGCGCCGGCTACCACCACCACCACCAACTCATGTCGATCGCTTTCTTCTTATATTCCACTGATCTAGGAATAATGAGATTTTATTGCCTGTCTGGTCCACCAGCTGAATCTTCTTCAAGGGGCCATAATGCACCACAAACTTACAAATTTTCTGCTTATCATTAATTTAGGCAAAGAGCGACATTGGAATAGATGGATTTGCGGATTAATGTGCTCTAGAAATGCTGTCATACCTACCGTCGTCCCTTACAGCGTTGTTATACAGTAGGATGAATGCCTAGACTTTAAGTCTAAATGGAGTGCCTCGATACAGTATAATCCGCCATCGTAGGGCAGGACTGATAGAAATGTTAGCACAGTACCACATCCTTGGTCCTTGCTTTTACCTTTCCATCATGGTTGTGTAGGCGTTTGAAAAGACGTAAAAATCGGGCACTGTTGGTTGGTTGTACATCGGTATGCTATCATTTGGGAATATTCGAGAAGAGTAAGGGCAGTGAGGGGTTTGATTTTTTTTTTCCTAAGCCCCTTACAGTATATCCTTTCATGGCAGCATAGACGGTCAGTCTGTAGTACAAAGGATTGAGGATTGAAGTAAGTAGCACATAATGAATGGTCCTATCCTGATGAGGTGGGGAGGACTTTTAACGCCACCAGCTCAAAAACCCCTTTTTGTCCGGCAGAATAATATCTGCCTTAGGCAATTACTATAGATCTGATTTTTACCAAGTCAATCACTAAATCTAGTGATATCGCCAACACGTGCCTGTTTTATGCATCAAATTGGTTGAATATACCATATGCGCTCTCTCTCCTCACCTCTAATTATATTTTACGCCTCTCGAAATTAGGTAGACGTACTGTTTAACCCTGAGAATCCGAATCTTGGCCTTCATAGTGCGGTGTATAAAGCCCTATGCGAACGGAATCAGGCGAGGGCCTATCCTTAGTGTCTTTGCGAAGCCTCTGAGTGTAAATGATGAGGTACCTGAGACCTCTACGCAACACGGTATGGTGCATTATGCGGAGTTCCTCGTATTTAGGATCCCTCTACCAATGAGAAGAGCTCGAAGAGGGTAAGAACGTTCTTAGTACCTAAACCCGCCACTTATACGCATTGAGAGGGAATCGAGATCTTATTCCTGCGAGGATAAAGAGCGGGTAATATAGAGAGAGGTTGCTAAAGAGGTTGCCAAAGATGTTATCAAAGATTTTACCAAAGATTTTGCCAGAGAGATATGGCCAGGGGCGAGATCGGTTGATTTCTGCGGTCGTTTACAGTAGCCTGTATTGCCTAATTAGGAATTGTAGAGGCCTGAATAAGAAGGCACCAGGGCAAAGGTAACTCTGAAAGCGGTCGATATACTGATCAATTATAGGGTTTGAGCCGGTGGCGTTAAACGCCCTCCCAGATGAGGCAAGATTTTCGATCGTTGGCCTAATTGTCTTCTTCAGCCGACTTCTTTATCCCATTAACCTGCATACAACGGTGCAAGATCACCTCACTACACTCTTGTATGTAGAGAATTCCACCCACCCAAAGTGTCCACATTCTGCCTTTTGTTACTTCATGGTGAAATTAGCGGTGTATGATTGCGGGGTTTCGACCGATCTATTTCCACCGAAATGTCTCCTTAAATTGGTGGCTGAAGTTGGCATGGAGGTGACAACAATGGGCATCAATCCCCTCCACCTGGCGGTTCCGCCCCAAAACACTTGATCCTTGACGAAAAGGATATGATATGGAAGAAGATGGCTTATTCAGAGTACCAACAAGGCCTGATAACATAAAACTTGTCTAATTTCAGCATCACTTCGCGCTGGCATTCATGAGTTCCCAGACATTCAAAAACACTTTCGGGATTGCCACCCTATCCCTCGGCAATTGCAAGCACCATTGTTTAGAACATCGGCTTCAGGAGGCCGCCAAGGCAGGATTCCAAGGGGTTGAGCTTTTTGATGAAGACTGGGCTGCCTACCTTACTGCTAACGGTCAAGATGGCACTCATCCCTGGGAGCCTACCGATGGGAATTTACGCGTCGCTAGGGAGCTTGGTCAGAGGATCAAGGATCTTGGGATGTCGGTTTTCTGTGTCCAACCAATCCGCCAAATTGAAGGCTGGCTGAATCCCATCCATCGCGAGCAAAGCTTCTTGCGGGTGCGGGAACGCTTTCCATTCATGCGTGCATTTGGCACTGATTTGACCTTTATATGCTCTCATGTCCGCTCCAAGACGAGCACGGTGACGATCGACTTTGGCGTTGTGGTTCAACACCTGCGCCAATTGGGTGAGATGGGTGCGGCCTTTGCGCACAAGGACGGTGGCCCGGTCATCCGGATTGGGTATGAGGGCCTTGCTTGGGCAGATAGAAATACCTGGTCCTCGACTTGGGAGATTGTGCGAGCCGTGAATCTTCCTAACGTTGGTCTCGTCGTGGACACCTTTCACTGGCTGTCGGTGGAGTGGGCGGACCCCACCAGTCCTACTGGACTTGCGTATGCCTAACACCAGGAGGCGCTACATGTCGTCTCGTCCTCGATCGCAGCTTTCACTGCCACAGTGCCAGTAGACAAAATTTTTCTGGTACAATTGGCCGATGCCGAGCTGATCAGTCCTGCCTTGTTGTTATCTCTCGGCCGGGATGACATGCCCACCCTGCAAGTATGGTCACGGAACTGCCGACTGTTTCCCATCGAGATAGATCGCGGGGCGTATTTTCCTATTGCACTTATTGTATCCTCCATTTTAAGGGCCGGGTACACTGGTCCCCTGTCACTAGAGGTGTTTAATCAGTCTCTATACTCTCCTGATCCAAATGTTGCAGAGTCCCATGCCAAAAGGGGGATAGAGAGTTTGCGAAACCTGTTGCAGGAAGTATGCGCTGAAAGATAGATAATCTCTAGCTATGTTTTTATACACGAAGCAGGAGCAGATAATGACTTATCCAAAGTGGCCCTAGGCGATCTACTATGCTTGCTGTTAAGAATAAGCCTCATCCAACAAGTGAAGCGACGGTGGATTCAATCACACAGGCCCTGGATGAGTAGTAATTATTGAACAGTAGTGTTTATTGATTAATGAGTGGTGTAGTTGCTTGAGCCGAGCATAGTGCGGAGCCTCCGTACACCAGTTACGGTAGTCACGCCGATAGACGCAAACTTCCTGTGGGCCCACTTCAGCTCTACCACGTTTGTGACGGCCAATTAGGGATTAAATCGGATGCAAAGGTAGCACAATCTATCGGACTTCAAGTCGTACCATTTGGTCTATGAGTCGGATTGTGATAAAAGGATTGGCTGCAGACGCATTGGGTGGTGTCCGCTAGGCCAGACGCCATTACAGATCTATAAATTTCATTGCGACCAGAGATACCAGCTCTTGCCTACGTACGCACAGGATGGCGTTGTGCTTTCTCGTGTGTCTCAAGGCTCAACTGATTCGGCCGTTGTTGAAGATTTCATCGAGCAGCTCCTTCAGCGCTGTGGAAGGTGGCCGGAACCGAAATCCGTGATCATCATGGACAATGCATCCTTCCACCATTCTGACCAAATTATAAAGAAGTGTGCCGATGCTGGAGTAAAGCTAATGTGTTTGCCACCTTATTTGCCTGATTTGCATCCCATCGAGAGTTGTTCTCCGAGCTGAAGGCGTTCATCAGGCGTTACTGGCGAATGTATGAACAGAGCCCGGAGCAAGGGTTCGATAATTTCCTTGAGGGATGTGTTGAAGCTATAGGATTTCGGGAACAAAGTAAAATCGGCTATTTTCGACATGCTGGCGTAGTCGTTGAAGACCGGCCTTGGGCTACAGTATCTAGAGCAGAGTAATTAATCTAGTTGGTAGAAATCTGGATTCCTGGGATAAAAGGGAGCATCCTTTAGCGTATGCTGTGTTTCTAAATAGTATATGGATTATATATAGCAAGTGTGAGGACTCAGATGCCAATAAATAGCAGTAGTACTGAACGAAGGTATTAAGCTGAGAGAGAGAGAAGAGAAGAAGGAGAGAAGCTCCTATTGCAACTATCTACATAAGCGGCTGCCTAGGTCACATGTTTAGTCATGTATAATATGGCACTATACTATATATCTGGAATAGGTAAGGGAAACATAGTAGGTATCATGTCTAATCTGCTAGTCAGCTACTCAGGTATTAGGCTTACTCTAGTCATTAGGATCTACAGAGGTGCCCTACTACTACCAGAGTATCAAGAGATATTCCTTGATGATATGATTATCAGTAACTCTGTGATCGAATTTAACTTCGGTAGACAATACCCTGGTGGTTTTCAACAGAAGACTGGGGTCAAGAACACATTTGGCAGGCCAGGTCGAAAGATTCGGGCTCTTCTAAATAGCCTTCGTACGGAAAATGGTCGCAGTGAACTTCAGAACCAGGCGCAGTACCATTCTTACTCCCTTCAACAAACAAGAATCAAGTGGCGTCATCCGGGAGTCAACGACATTCTTTTCAATGCCCACTATCTTCATAAACTGTCGGCATCGGCAAAGCGATTTTGTAGGAGCGCTGATAAACAACTAATGACTTTGCCTCCGGACCCCAGGTCTGAACGATTTGGAGGGATCTTCCGGTCTCGCTCCCCCATACCCGACAAGGAGAATACCCGGGAGGTTGAACATATTTCGTCCACTTATTGCAATTTTGCCCTTACTTTGAGTCCTTTCCCTAGGTGCTATTATTCACTACTATCGATCCCTTCTTTCCTCACTTCTTCGCCTCATAGCCATTCCAAGCTGTATTCATCAACCGAAGAACTTAAAGGCAACATGCCAATGTCCGCCGAGTACCCCTGGACAAAGTCCCCCCCTAATCGCATCAGCACCTATGGCAAAAGTCGCGATGCCAAAGCTGGCAGTCGCTGTCTCAAAGGCTGGAGGTCTGGGATTTATTGCTGCGGGTTATAGCAGCGACAAACTCGAAGACCTACTGGAAGAAGCCGAGAAGCTACTGCTCCAGGAAAGCATGCCGGAAATGAAAATGAAGACTGAGACCGAGACCGAGGGCCCCAAATTACTGCCTATTGGCGTCGGGTTTATAACGTGGAGTGCATCCCTGGAAAAGGCGCTCGCCTCTTTCTCCAGATACTGTCCGGCTGCATTTTGGTTATTTGCCCCTGCCAGGGGATTCAAAGACCTCATTCCGTGGGCCGAGCAGATAAGAAAGGTCACCGTAGATAGGACCAGGATCTGGTTTCAAGTCGGCTGTGTGGCGCATGCGGTTGAGGCTGTCGGTGCTATTGATCCTGATGTCATTGTTGTTCAGGGGATTGATGCCGGTGGGCATGCTCGAGCACAGGGGGGCTAGTATTATCTCACTATTGCCGGAAATTAGTGACAAGCTTCGAGAATTGCGACCAGCTTCTGCGAAACAGGTCGGTCTGGTTGCTGCCGGGGGTATCAGTGATAGTCGAGGCGTACTTGCTGCCATGGCACTTGGCGCGCAGGGCTGCGTTCTAGGAACACGCTTTCTTGCGAGTTGTGAGTGTGTTGTTGCGGATGGATATCAGAAAGCAATTCTAGATGCTTCAGATGGCGGTATGAGCACGGTTCGGACGACGATCTATGACAAAGTTCGTGATATCCATGGTTGGCCACACGGTTACGATGGTCGTGGTCTGATTAACAAGACTTATGTTGACCATATGGCTGGTCTCGGTGAGATTAAAAATGGAAAACTTTATCGCGATGAACTTGATAGGGGGGATGGTGGCTACGGGACTGATGGGAGACTAACCACATATGCTGGCACTGGTGTTGGACTTATCAAGAAGGTTACTCCCGCAGGCGACATTGTCAAGTCATTACACGAAGAGGTTAGTGCCACGCTGTACGGGGGAGGCAACCTGTCTAGGCTTTGAGTTGTCATTTATCTATTTGCAATGAGGAAAGGTTTGATGAAAAGTCAGCCCCATGCGCTGATCTCGATGTCACTTTTCATACTAAGGGCTGCATTCATCATGATAAAGAAACCCGCATTAGTTCGCAATTATATCAGAAAGTTCAAACGGATTTCTCTGAGTTCGCCAAGAGCCCTTTGGCAGGGGTCATAGTGCCAGACTATCTCCACCTCAGCTTCCCCGCTTTTCCGGTAATGGAGGGGTTGTTCGGGAGTAAATGGCGGAGACGGATGGACGAATGGCTAGAATTATACGAAAGTGGAAGATACAGTCCGTAAATAACTTGAATTGGCTGTCTGTTTTGACTCTGTAGGTGGATCGGAAGCAATCCTGAGTCATACATCTGCGTGAAACCTGGATATTTAGCGGACTGGTCGCTTTAATCAATGACGCGGGCGCATGGCTAGTATTTTAGTCCAGGCTATTAAATTAGTGGAAACTATAAGATCAGTCAGTATTCTAGGCAGTTGTATCCTTGACAAGCTACAGTGTAGCATGCGAGAAATAGATAATAGACCCGCGATCTCCCACAGACAAGCCATAGGCTAATGCTAACCCGTATCCTCCCGTGTGGGAGCAAAAGGGGACATGGGCAATACCTGAAACTCAATTTATATGCATTAGTAGGAACTTCTGGATCGATGCCTTTAGTTTAAACCCCCTGATAGACTCGGTGATTCCTAGGGCGCGAGAGGATCCGCGAGAGGATGGCCGAGAGGCGGCAGTCAATCTTTCTTCTGCGGGAAGCCCAGTTCCGATCGGAGTCGCGGTCACTTCCAGAAAGCCGGTATTTCGTAGGTAACAGGTCACCAGTTACCGGAAAACAGCGACAGGTCCATTCATCCAGATGGATGGTGCCATGGCGGCCAACTGCGCGTGTCCAAATAAGGTGTACGCCGAGAGTGTGGGGGTGGGGACTGAACGAGTAACAGCGACAAGGCTCGATCGACCAAATTCTGGTAATGAACAAGGAGGGGGCCGTGTGGGAGGTGTGCTTTGGTGGGTTTCGGTACGAGGAGAGAGATCCGTGCGTGGATTGATGGTCGTTAAAGTGTTCTTTGTTGGAATTCGCCCTGTTCTCATGCGGAAAGGAGGCTAAGTGGTTTACCGAGTAGGGTGAATGATGTCGGAGTATGGTGTAAGTGTTGTTTTGGCCCGACGAATTGGCTGGCGTATATCTTAGCGCGGGTGTTGGGGCGCTGTTGTCGGATCGCAGGGAAGACCGAGGAGCGACCGAGGAGCGACTGAGCAGGGACTGAGCAGGGACTGAGTATCGGCCTTTTTAATACTCAGCTGGGGGCGAATTAAGATGACACGTAGTGAAGTGAAGTGAAGCGACTAGTTCCCCCCCTAGGCAAGATCAGTGTCGTGTGCTGGAGCGTGTTGAGTGTGCGGAGTTGAAGTTGTGGGGTCCAATTTCCCCCGGGCACCTGACCTTCAGAGTCCCCGCAGGTCTCCAGGTTTCTTTCCCCCCCGGACAGTCCACATCCCCATGTCGCGCCTACGTCGCCCGGTATGCGATCCCGAACTGGATGGTAAGCCTCTTCTCCGTGCCTGCAGGCGCCTCTACTGACCAGCCCAGCCTGACATGTCGGACTCGTAAGCTTAAATGTATGTTTCCCCTCCTTGTTTTGCCTGGCCTCTCGGCTAACTGACTCGCAGGCGACGAACAAAAGCCCGAGTGTTCGCAATGTCGCAAAGGAGGTCGTGAATGTCGCCCAAGTGAGGGAATCGTCTTTCGTCATCAACAGAATGCCTCCATGAATACAAATGCCGCCGCTCAAGAAGGCCGTGGCGATCTCAAAGGCTTTTTCTCGTACAAGGACTCCTTCGACAAGGATAGCGTCTGGCTGGATATTCCCAAGCATGGTGAGTCAATCTCTCGATATTTTCAGCACTCCTGGACATTCCTAACTTCCTGGCAGTCATCTTCGTTGATAACTCCGACCCATACGCGACCGACCTCGAAACCTCCCTTGCCGAATCCAGTGCCTTGGCGTTGGCGCAATCACGGAATCAGAGATGGGGCAGCGGCTCACGAGCCAGCGATGCAGATTCACACGGGTTGGAAGCTCTCTCAGCAGTCGCTAGTCATGATCGATTCCCTTATTCGCCTCACTCCGTGCCGGACAGCATGTCATATCCCTCCCCAAACCGATCGCGAAGTAGCGCGATGCCCCCTCCGACGTCTCCACCCTTGTCGCTCTCGAGTAACAATAACACAAACACAAACATCAACTTCCTTCTAAACCCCGCCAACTCATTGTCACCTCCTGTTGATCCACTCGGACACCCTGCCGTACAACGGAGTGCCTCCCTTCCTTCCCGGCCCGCCATAGCCGCGGCCCACAGAACGACCGAGATTCGCGTAGATGGAAATGCGGAATCGGATTTTGAGATAGCCTTTTTGATGCGACATTATTCAGAGGGCCCGGGATTATGGTATGTCAGACGGGGAGGAAAAGGCGAAACCTTTTAAGCCGAGAACTGACATTTAACAGGATGGACTTGTTCGATCTGGGGACGTACTTCGCTTCGTATGTACCAGTAAGATCAAGATCAAACCCTCTTCTCAAATACGCCGCCTGCGCATATGCGGCGAAACAACTGGGCCGAGTCAAAGGTGCCAAAGCAAAGATGGGCGGAGTTTGCTCACGCCAAGCGATCATGGAGACGTGGCCGGACAAAAATAGAGATTTTATCTGGCATGGGGCTAAGTATTATGAAAAGGCTATTCAACTTCTGATGAAGCAGCTGCAACCCGATGCCGAGAGTTCGCCATCTCTGGGTGGAATTGAGAGTCACGAAGATGTAGATAATCCGCGAAAACGCCGACGCATGTCCGATAGTCGGGGTCCGAATGGCGTTTACTCTGATGAAGTCCTTGCTGCGACAGCTATTTTGTCGGTATATGAATTCCTCGACGCAACTGACCCGGCATGGAATCGACATTTGAGCGGCGTGAAGTCTTTGCTTGACATGGCCGAAGTTGGCATCATGCCTCCAGGTCATCGTCCGTCGAGTGGTGATAATCGCTTTGCGCAGTTGAAGAATTCGGGTCTCTCCAAAGCTCGCCGGGCAACATTTTGGAACTTTGCGCGACAGGATTACCTGGCAGCTTGTAAGCATTATCACGAAATAATTCCTCAGTCGCCCTTACTAACATCCACAGTCATCAACGAATGCCACACCCGGCTTAACACAGATGACATCTTCCTTTGGACGGAAGCGGGCCTGCAAATCGACCATAGAGGTTTTCTCCTTCCTAGTAATAATAATGCGGCGGGGTATCCTGAAGGCGACGATGTGATGAAAGAAGATATGATCTGCAATGGTCTTGTATGGATTTTGTCCAAGATCGTTAACCACATCAGTTCCGGAGATAACATAATGAACGATGCCCGATCCGACAATGGGCCGCTCGGAGTTTCACAGCAGTTTCTGTTGGAACGCTGGATGCGACTCGAGTCGGAGCTCGATGCGTGGTACGGCGGACTCCCAGACACATTTCAACCCTGTGCACGGATTGAGCCATCCAAAATCGAACATTATCAGCCGACGGAAGAAGCGGCCGACCTTGAAACTTTGCAAGAGGTGTGGCACAGTCTGCCCATGTGTGCATCGATCATGCAACATTACCACATGGCGCGCATCTTGCTGTTGATCAACAAGCCGCATGAATCAACGGGTCGTCGGAACACCATCGCCTTGCGACTGCAGTCGTATCGGTCAATTGAGGCCGAGATTGGGTTCCATAGCCGAGAGATCCTGGGCATTGCCCTCTCCCGACCCGATGGGAGCGTAAGAATCAATTCACTGCAGCCACTCTTCGTGAGTGGTCAATGCGTGACCGATGCGCGTGAGCGCCGTGTTGCGATTCGCATGTTACGCGCTATCGAGTCAGACCTTGGCTGGGCCACCGAGTATCGCGTCCAGCACCTCTTGAAAGAGTGGAGATGGAATGAGAATTCTTTGAGAGCAGGCGGTTGAAATCGACCTCAAGTTCCAGGCCTAGGGATTAGTCCTTAGTTCTTGCGTTCATCCCATTTTCGAAGCGAAATGCGCCTCTGATAAGGAGTGGAGCACAACGCGCTTCCACGATACCAAAGGTCCGTGATGACGTCTGGGTGGATGTCGCCGTTGATCGACCCAATCCCGATCTTGATCTCGAAAGGCAGATCCCATCCAAACACTCAGCTGCAAGCAAAGATGAAGTGGCGACCAACCTCAGCCCTACCAGCTTATCCCCCTGCGCATCCCACCCAGGGCCTCATCGACGGAGACAATCCCATGATTCATCGAGCCCGATCGATCCTCCGCCTCGGGATCAAGATCTCCGAGGGGCTTATCGCGATGATGTATTCGACGAGTTCATGAAATCTGCTTATCATTAGTTCTTACAAGTAGTCACAATAATTAATTCCGGAATCATAGATACCAGTCAAAAGCAGAATTCGTGAAGGTATGAAAGAGAGTAAATTCCGATCCACCCAAGATAAAATCTCCAACCAACTCCAAACCTAAATTTGTAGACATGAAGATTACTTATGTCACAACCTTTGCCCACCATACCTCATATTTGAGTTCCGCAACTCGGTCAAGTTGCCCTACAATCGGGTCGGCGGGGTTGCATCGCGCCTCGGCAAGCTTCCCAACCCGCAGGTTTCCCACAAGTTTTTCCTTCAGCGGGCCGTCCTTGGCTTTTCGGGGTGCCGGGTCCCCTATTCCCCAGGGGTAAAAACAAAGTTATCCACGACTAAAATGATTACGGATACCACCAGCCACCTTTTAACATCCAAAGACCTCGTCACCAACCTGAGTTCTGCTTATTCTCCATTAATTGTACAGTCACCCCTACAAGAGCTCTGCCATGCCCCCATCGACAAGGCCATCCCGCCCCACAGATAGGCATTACCTCCACTAACGAAGAAGGTTAACCGACTCGGCAATCCTCCGCATTAACTTCTGCAAGCTCAAATCCGGACGAGACTGTCCTGCCGCATGTGTCTTGCCCTGACATCGTCGGTGGGGTCCGCTTTGGTTCCGAATTCTCCCTTGTCTCTTCCAAGATTTGTCTCTGTTTGTTTTAGCTGTAGGGCTTAGGCCCACCGAATATTTACTTTGAAGAAACTACGCCGCGAATCAGGAAGTGCCATCCTCACCTTCGGGATACCTAAACGGGAGAGGCCGGGGGATCAGTATATTCAGCCCTGCTCAACCGAGGATCTTCGTCGGGCTGGAAGCAGGTATAGCGATCGTCAGGCTTGCTAAATTCAAGGTTTGGTGACTACTAGTATTAGGTGTGATTTCCAGAATGTCTGTACTAGTTAATTGTGCCGATTGGGAATTTTGCTTGGGCTTGTTCTGCGTCTGGCGACGAATCTTGGCTGTTGAGTTTAGACTACTTGAGATTGCCGGGGGACTTATCTTCGCGAAAAAAAAAAATACAGCGAGTAGATTTCTGTAGTCTCGATCAATTGTCACATCAAATTGGGCTTATTTCTGCTCTATTTCTCTGTCGGGTCCCTCCGAGTGTGCCCCGCGGCGTGAAGAGCTATGAAGCGCTAGCGGGATTATCACGGAATTCTTCAACTAGTCCCGGTAAACTTTGGAAGGTTCTATTTGAGTATTCAGGACCGACTGCTTGCACAAGTGGAAGAATTATAGGCTTCTATTTTCCGAGGCCCATGGTCTTGTATTCTGCATAGCAGCATTCACATGTGCGGAGTAATGTTAGGCATAAATCAGGTTGAAATGATGAAACAACCGATCTCACTCCCAATTGATTCACGGAGCGGGTATTGCCGAAGTCTTTCAATGGTCGAATTGTTTCCTTTCTTTAGTGCCCCATGCCTGTGCAATGCTGCCAACCGGCACAGAAACCACCTCGGCTCGTTCAGGGGTTTACTATCAATGAACCAGGGATTAATTTTAGTAGGTCGTAAATAACACTACCCTGTACCTGCAAACAATAGATTATTTTGTTTCATGTCAAGTTCAAGCAGTCACAGAACCGAGTCCCTTTTGCTGAATGGATTGAATTGTCTCTTTGTAACATTTCACAAAATCAACTTATTTATATGGCGACCAATTACAATACTTATGAAAAAACACCTAGGTAGCTGAGGTAACAATGTCACCAACTTGAAATAAACTTGAATGAATGAAGATAATTAGTGCGACGGTTGCCTCAATGTAGCGGTAGCTTTCGAGTTCTTGTGAAAGTATCAAATTATACTAAAGAATCTCTCCTAATCATTAACGATTTTGAATTCGTTTGTTCCAGATAAATTCAAAGAGTCCTTGGTCCTCATCCAGCATGCGTTTCATGCGCTTCACTTTGATACCCATGCTCTTGGGTGACTGGAAGCTAGTTCCTTCTTTATCGATGAACTCTTTGTAACAACAAACTGCCAAGTTAGGCCAAATACGTATTCGAAACTAAAATCCAATTAAAGAATCGAGTAGATAAATACCGCTTCATCCCATCCTTTTTCAAAATCATTAACACAGCCAACTCTCATATTACCACAGCACTTGACTTATCAAATATCACTCACCATGACTCACAACCAGGAACTATCAGACCAGATCGAGGCTCTCACTCCATCTCCTTCGGATGCACGAGCACGCCTTATATCTGAAGAGAAGTTCCATCTCAATGTAGCATCCTTCTCGGATGAATTCGTCCAGATGTTGCGGGATGATCTTGATGAGGCAACCGGACTAGCGCTGTTCCTGCCGCCAATCAATCGCCTCGAGTTTGACGACGAATTTTGGCGCTGTCTTTTCCAGAAATCTAGCCGGAGAGAGCTCGAATTGCAAAATTTGGGAAATTCGGATGACAGATGGAGGCTCGACGAAGTTCTCCAAAACATGACCTGGGATAAATACATTGTAGAGAGTGTGCTGGATACGCCGGAGGATCAGAAACCCGACATGAAGGTTTTCCGTGATGTTCTTCTCGAGGTTTTTGGGGCGAGAGCAGCCGGAAAGCAAGGAAAAGAGACAATATTTCACTTGGGCGGACTTGCAAAAGGCGAAAGAAACAGGGGAGTTTAAGAACATAAGGGAGGTAAGGCAAATCAAAATGGGGCATATGAGACAGGGTTTTATGAGAATATCATGGACTCCATTCTTGACGAGTCTATAGATGGATGGGAAGAAAAGTACGATCTCAGTGGCGAGAATTTTGCTAAGCTAATACGGCATAGAGCCTTCGATAAGATCACAGAGGACTTCTTTGACAGTGACGATTATGATGCAGGACCACGCATTCGGGCCCTGGATTTTGAAACTCCTGACGAGGACCTTCGGTTGCATTTTCACGTACTTCATCTTTCTCGTCCTTTGAAAGAAGTTATTACAGATCCCGATCTATCTGATCTGAGTTTGAAAGAGCGCCGAGCGTTTGCCGCTAGACTTTGGACCCTGGCGTTTGGAAAGTGTTGCTCTCGACTCCAGGAGGTTGATGACCAGTAAAAAGGAAGCCGGCAAGATCCAGTCGATCAGTATTCAGCACAACGCCAGAGGATCTAAGTATAGCAATAATAAGCCTAGATAGTGCCTAGTGCTCTATGGGGTAGGGTGGGTTTGTTTTCAAGAAGGAAGTTTCAATTTGATCAGATCGTAAGAAGTTGTCTAGCTCCAATACATGAAAGTTCGAAGGGACAAAACTCCTTTTGTAGACGTAGAAAATCTTTCCTCCAAATCCATAGTTTTCACATCCTCGATAAAAGGTCGATGAGACAAGATCGTAGCTGAACACTGAGAACCTTGGAAATCTTTTAGAAATTGACTATATTTAATGCCCTGGCGAAATTTTCTTTAATGATTGTGAAATCTCTTCAAATGATACTTTCAAGTTGGCTTGCTGAGACTCGGAGCCATGTGCCGGAGCAGTTTTGTCTTGCGAACCTGATGAACAGGCGATAAAATAATCGACACAAATTCAGCCACCGCATGGTAATTCAATTCAACGGCCCGTGTCTACTCTTGAAAATGTTCAGGCTCGTGAGACATACTATATGACTGTAGCAAACCCGTCAGAATTAGACCCACCGGAAGAGCGCATGAACAAGCTCCTCAAGGCAAAGTACGATGCCGGTATACAAAAGCCATTCAATTATGTCAAGTAATATGCCAGGCTTGACAAATATATGGGGGAGAATATTCTAGTACCTTCGCCAGCTGGAAAAGTTTCAACTGAATCTCCAGAGCCCAGAGCCAGTCGAACCAGGCGAATCACGGCCCCTTTTACTTTTGGCCCATTTGGAATTATTGAGTCACCTAATGAAAAGACTGAAAATTTTCCCTTCACTTGGCTGCTTCTCACTTTCTTATTGGACTATATGTGGCAGCCATTTCGGCTCAGCAGGTAACGGTACTATGTGGAGCAGCGTCATAAATCACGATTTGGTGCGAGAGCGTTGATATTTAGGCATGTTTGTCGCAGATAATACTGAAATTTACTCGTCTTGCGCCAGCGCCATTGATAAAACATACTAGAGAAGATATTGTCGGCTTGAATGGTAACCGTACAGACGAGCCAACTGGTTGCGGCAACCGAGTTGGCTTGTGATACTTCATCTTGGTGAACTTTGGAGTCGAGTAGGATTGATGTGGTCATGGTACACATGATTATGTATCACAACAGAGAACATGTTACACTAGGGGAGAAATTTTTCTGGTCGACAGGGAAGTTCATTGTGTGAGATGTGTGACATGCTAGTAATGTGTCATTTTCAGGCCATCAGCCCAGCATAAAACATTAAACACCACTCTGCCTATGATAATCCCCTCCCCTCCCCCTAATTTGACAATATCATACCAGCTGGTCTTACCCCTGAAATTGACCATTCCACGCTATTATCCATGGGATTGACATTAGTAACCATTTTGATTTCTTTAATTATTGCAACACCAAGCCTCTCACTCGTCTGCTACTGGCCGGATGGTAGTGTGGATCCTTATAATTATCAACAATGCCCAGGCACTAAAGTCTGCTGCGCGATAGGCGAAACATGTCTTAACAATGGACTTTGTTATAGCGCGAGATATAATATTGCCTATCGTGGAGCGTGCGTTAGCCAAGGCTGGCCCGTTGAAGATTGTCCACATATTTGCCATACAGGTGAGAAAAGTGCCATACAAATTCTATAATACCTGGCGAAAATGACCCCCTTGGGCCTAATACTAATTGTAATATTTGAGCAGAGATCCCTAGCAGTTGGTCCAATCTGTTCGCTTGTCCCGGAAATAGCTTCGGTATCTTCACCTGTGGAAATGGGAGTGGAGCGACAGAGATCTGCCACGCAAATTTGTCAAATTTTGTGTGGAAGGCGGCGATTGTGTCCGATTCTCAGTTAATAGAATCAACCACTAACTCATCGCTGAAAAACAACCATTCCAGTTCGCCATCTGCAAGTACTAACGCTTGCAACTGCTCCAAGCAAACAGTTAAAATTGGAGCTGGTCTCGGAGTGGGGTTAGGGATACCATTGGTACTGGTTTCCATACTATGTCTCTGGATGGTAAAGACAGGAATGGGAAGCTCTAAAAGAACCAACATCGAGCCCGAGCCCGAGCCCGAACCCAAGCATGGTGGTGATGATGCAGACCAACAAAGACATTATCTTCGACCATTACGCGAACTACCTACCCCAGGAGATCAAACTGAGATGGATGCACTGAGCCCGACAGTGCGCGAGCTCGAGTGATTTTAAGTTGGGAATGGCAATTTAATTCAAATTTACCGTGACAGTGTTGTACTAGTAGTAGTAGTGGAATACAATAGCGCTGAATAAATATACTCATACCTACATATTCCCTCCTATATATTATTAGAAAGAATACAATTATATGATTGTATTTATGGAAATTCTATATTGTAGAGAATATTATCACCCTAACTATATTGGTCCTGTATTGTAAACTTGCGACCGGGCGGGATGGTATGTTACAGGAGCAAACTATGAAAATAACTGAAACTGGGGTCAGGTTGAACTACTTTGTCAACACCTACTGCTTTGAAGTAAGCGCAGTTTAGCTAGTATCCGGTGAACGTCGCAAACGACGTATAATCCGCTATTGTTAAGATATGACGATGAGAGAAGAGAAATGGATGAAAGATGTACTCAAAAGACGAGGTTTATGCGGGAGAGATGAAAAAGAAGAGATAGGGATGGGAGAGAGTTGCATGAAGCATAGAGAGAGAAGGTGTGGAGCGGGTATATATATTTATTATTGCGGTATCCTTTGTTTACATTTACTCGTATCTTCCATCTCTTTCATTTAGATTTAGTGAATGGAAGGAGCAATTGAATTAATTCCTACAGCCCGTATTCATTAAATACATATGAATACTATATGTATTTTATATGTTATAGAAGTCCAAAAAATTAGTGCCGTGTAGAGTGATGATTAAAACTAGGGCTATACTTCACAACCAATAGAAGCTCGTGAACTAGACCTACCATGGGTAGAAATCGCGGAATAATAATTGGCCGAACGTGGGTCAAAAGTCACGTCATCTTTTTACCCACGCTTGGCTGAATCCCGACGTGGCTGGCTGGCCACCCGCAGCCCCGAGTCGCCTCTAGAAGGGTGAACAAGATAATAGCGGCATTTATCTTGCAGAGATACGGCCGAAGGTCACCGTAGACATCATATCATGCAAGGGCATGCAAACTGTGGGAAGAGCATGACATGAATTAATTACCAAGCAGTTCGACGACAACGTGGACATAAGCATTTGTGATGGAACTGGAGACATATTTTCCAGGACTCCATTGATCTGGACATTGGAGGGGAGAAACGAGGTTGTGATAAATTTGAAAGGTAATACCATATCTTAGCAGTAATCTATAGACAAGAGAAATTCTCGAGAACATCCAACGGCTTTAATAGGGGATTCGTGATGAAGAATGTCAGTATAGCGTCAAATGAGGACGCCAACCTGGCCACTGTGATTTCTGGAAGTCGCGCATCCCAGTAATTGAGAGTAACCTTGATGTCATTGGGCACTTGATCCACAACGACCACAATGTCATACTGTATTATCAGCGATTCAGCTATAGTACTAAAAAGAGAATAAAAAGAAGGGGGTTTGAATAGAACATACAGCCATAGGGTCAGTTAAAGAGAGGGTCCGGAAGTTAAGATGAGAGTCACCAATGGATTTCGGATCCGGGCTCGGGAACTGACGATGGTTGACCAGAGTATTGAAAAGAGGCCCTGACAATGCCTGTTCCAATTGTTCTAGAGCTGGAATTATGCCGGGGTGATGGCTGAGGGACTGCGCGTAGTCGCTCTGGACATCACCCAGGACATCGCCGAGAGAATGTTGTAACTTCAAATCCAGCCTGCAGACCAGCAGGTTCACAAGTGGACCGACGACCTTTTCTACCTCAGCGATGGGCACATCTCGCCCGGAGACTAGATATCCAAAGCAGACGGAATCTGTGCGCGTCCAAAAAGCCAAGGTCATTGCCCAAACGGATTTGATCAGAGTCGGGACAGTAATTTCGCCCTGTTGGCAGGATCGAGAGATGGCCTCAAAATCCTTCTTTATACTCACTGGGACGCTATGCAGATGTCCGCGAATATCTGTGTGTTGATGTGGGAAGAGGCAAGGTGATGCATTGAGGAAATATTCTAGCCAATATTCCATCGCACGTTTAGACGAAGCGTCGATATACTGGACATATTGGCTGAATTGGGGAGCGGGGTTCTCCAGTAACTCATTGCTATAGATGCGGCGCAGATCATCCAGAATAATAGCAGTAGAGGCAGCATCCCCCACAGCATGGTTCATCTGGCCGGTCAGGGTCACGACGTACGGTGTATCCTGGGTGAAGGCGACCCGATAGGGCAATTTTTTCAAGGAGTGACGTGCGGCTTCTTTGGTGAGAATGGCTTGAGTATATGCATTTTCCTCTCCAGTGGAAATAAAAACAGTGCGGAGAATTGCATGACGATCTATGACAGCCTGCCAAGCCTCTTGAAGATTGGCTGCCTGGACGCTGAAAGATTCGGATGTGATCTGCACGGAAAATCGAAGTGTGTATATCTCCTTCTCATGTAACTGTGCACAAAGCATCATTTGGGCGTACAGGGCAGAAGATCCTCAACGTCCGCTTCCGATATCTGCATGTGGGAAAGGGTATCGAGTACGTGACCAGCCAAGACAGGATGAGGAGCGGATATAATCTTCTCAGCTAAAGGAGCAGGTGCATCGGATTCTATACTTCGAGCCAGTCGGCGGATGGTGCGATGTTGAAAGACGTCTGCAAAACTCATTTGCAGACCGTCTATCTGTGCGCGCGAGGAAATCTTCATCGCAGCCAAGGAGTTTCCTCCGAGATAAAAAAAGTCATCCTCAACGCTGATTACCTCTGCCGGGGCTCCCAAAACAGAGGCATATATTTGCTGGAGTTTTGTCTCAAGACCTGTTGAAGGTATCACTGTTTCTTTCTCACCAACAACGTATTTCCACAGGTCTCGTGGGGATAGAGCGTTCAGAATATCGCGGAATTGCTGTCGATCGGCTTTGCCAGTCGGCCTCAAGGGAATCTGACGAACAGGGATAAAGGCCGCGGGGATCATATATCCTGGGATCAGATCTAGCATCCGTCGTCTGGCCAGACAAGCGCTCTGTTGGAACTCTGCCGTGTCTGGTAAGAGAATGGACGACGATCCGGTGTTGTTGTTGAGGCGACCGTCTTGCAAGACCACGAACCCGACCATGAGCGATTCATTTTCCACATACTCGACGACAAACTGAGAAGCGCCTGGAAAACATTGTCGAGAATAGTTTTCTACTTCACTTAACTCTACCCACTGGCCCTGGACCTTGACCTGTGTGTTCTTGCGGCCACAAAAGAGAATGGACCCGTCATCCATGTAGCGAACTAGGTCACCCGTCTTGTACAGCTTAGCCTGATACCCTGGACGCATCAAGGACATCCAGGAAGGACAGTCGATGAATGCTGCATTGGTTTTTTCTGGGTCTTTCAGGTATCCTTTCCCAACAATGGGCCCGTCAATCAGCAGTTCTCCCACAGTGCCTACTGGCATCAGTCTCTCTGGATCGTCCTGGCACACAATCCATGATACAGTCCCCAGACCTTTGCCAATACATTTAATTTCGTCTCCCTCCATCAACGCCAAAGAGCTATGGGACACACATGCCGTTTCCGCAGGGCCGTACGTATTTATCAGAGCCACATGTTTCGACCACGACCGAACATCACTGGCCGTGAGTGGTTCTCCGATGAGACACAATGTTTTGAGACAGGGCACACAGCCAGCCTGCAGGATTCGGGAAACAGATGGTGTAATCATCGCCCAATTTGCCCTAAGTTTCCGGATTGCAGTGCTCAGATCGCTCTTCACTTCGGCGTCGGAGGGAATACAGATGCATCCTCCCGCTAGGAGAGTGGCTAGATGATCAGAGATGCTAATGTCAAATGAGTAGGAGCATTGTTGGAACGTCCGAGTCTGCGTGCTCAAATTGAGATGCGGGCCATATCTTAATGCACTGCTAATAAAAGCCGAGTGCTGGATCATTGCACCCTTTGGGGTACCGGTTGAGCCTGATGTGAAGACGACATATGCAAGGTCCTTTCCACACCTTGCGGGGGGAATCCAATCTTTTGTGCTGTTCGAGTTACTGGGCAAAAGCTGTTCTTCTATCACAATGAAATCCAATCCAAGCTCTGTACACAGCGCAGCATTTTCTCTCGAGGTGAGAAGAGCCCGGGCACCGGTGATTTCGCATATACCCTGAAGTCGTTTCGAAGGCAGCGATGGGTTCAACAACACAAACGCCGCTCCTGCCTTTAGTACAGCAAGCATGGCCACTGGGGTCCAGCAGGACTTTTCGAGACACAACGGAACAATCTCACCAGGATGTACCCCGAGCTCAGCTAGATGCTTTGCCAAGCAGGAGGAATGGGTCGACAGTTCGTGGTACGTAAAGGAACCGTTCCACCCCTCGACGGCGGATGCAAGTGGCTGTGTCTTGGACTGTTTGTCTATGTATTCATGAATGCAGCCGTCGACTGTTTCTGGGGGAGAAATATTCCATTCCATGATTTGCCGTGTATCTCTGTCGCTCAACAGGTAGATCTCACTTAGGGGTTGCTGCGAAGAGGTCGCCAGGACATTGAGTGCCTGTTGAAACACGCTTGCGAGGGTCTGAGCCTGGTACTTGTTCAAAACAGAATCCCAGTATTTGATTCGGGCTGTGATGCTTTCACCTTGCATGATTCCGTCCAAGGCAATGTCATACTCGGAGTGATCGAACACATCGGTTGCCTCCAATCGTAGACTTCTCTCCGACATGGTTCTGTCTTCTATCACATTAACAAAGGATAGCATGGTATTGAATGGATGGCGGGAAGCAATGCCTAGATGTTCAAAGACCTCAGAAGCAGAAATCTGTTGGTAGGGAAGACTATCTGCGAAGTCTTTCTGAGCCTCCTGCAAGACATCAAGCAGCGAGTTTGTTGGATTGAGATCGATCGTTCTGACGACCATGTTTGTAAACAGGCCCACCGCATCCCATATACCTTCCAAGGAGTTTCTCCCAGCAACCATGTACCCGAAACAAACTGACTTCTGATTGGTGAAGGTCTGCAAGACTAATGCCCATGCAACCTGAAAGATATTTGCCATGGTGAGCCCGTATTTGTGCGATAAGTCGTACAGACGAGACGAAGCCTCAAGCTCAATCTTCATCGAATAGAAATTCGCAGACCTGCCAGGGATATTATTTTCTTCGTTATTCAAGGTGGGAAACTGGCATGGTATGCAGTCTTGCAGTCGAGAAGCCCAGTATGCCTTTGAATCTTCCCTGCAAAGATTTCCCTGGTGGATTATGTGTTGTCGAAAGGGCTGAAGGCTCTTTGAAGGAAGAAGATAATCATAAGCCAATGCAAGATCGCGCATCAGGATTTGAAGAGAAAGCCCATCGGCCACCGTATGATCAACATCCAGCCGACAATCGACTTCACCTGATAGCAATTTTTGCAATGTCATTTGTGCGATGGGAGAATTTGATACTGCGCCGTGCATTGGCTGATCATCGAAGCTGTTTAAAGCCCTAGCCGCATTGTCGGCCTTGGAAGGACTCAGGACGAGTTGAATATATTTGTTGATATCTCGGGGATGAGGGACAAACACAGTCCGGAGGGCTGGATGACGGCGGACCACAGCAGACCAGGCATCTTTCAGACGTTCAATACACACTTTCTCCTGTTGGTTATTTAGACCTGCCCTCCACATGGCGCGGACTTTGTAGCGTGAGGGCATCACTGCTTGGGCGAGCAACATTCCTTCCTGGATCGAAGAGCACGGGTATGCGTCACAGAGCTCAACATGCTTTGTGATACCTATCTTGGGGAAGTGCTCAGTCTCCAGGCGCTTTAACTCTTCATACTTGAGATGGAGAAATGGAAAGCTGACTAGTGTGAACATGGTGCTTGCCTTAATTAAGTCATTTAATATCTCAGCGAGGTTTTGTTGGAATTGGAAAAACCATTGATTTAGGAGTTCTGGGTCCCCAAAACATCGCTGTATGTATATGTCAGTTCTATGGTACCGCTGTTTTGCGTGCCTGTCGCGACAAGCTCCAGTAACCCTGAACAGCGGGAATAAGGTGTAGAATGTTTAGGATGAGACCCGTCAGGTTGACCCATTGATGCATCGGATGTAATGAGATTGTGAAGCAAGATGTCGACGGTCGCCAGCGATGGCAGAGCGCGAGCCATATCATCAACAAGGGACAGCCAAGCACTGTCCCTGATACGCCGGACAAGATCTAAATTGCTCAGGCGCCCAAGGTTCCTGGGGCCTGGGCAAACAAGTATGGAATCAAAACGTCCAGCGGCATGAGAGAAATCGAGAGACGGGTTGGCTATGTCTCGTCCATTAATCTGAGCCGCAATAGACGGCGGCTTGCGATCGCAAAACACCAGATTGTATGACCTAGTCAGTGCCGCCAGGACGATTTGCCACGGTCGGACTTGTAATGACTCGCAGCAATCTCCGAAAAGAAGATGGCAAGTTTCACTGTCCAGTATGGCAGTCTGTCCACGTAGATGCTTGCTTTCGTGGATGAGGATGTTTGAATCATAGTCTCCGCCTGCCCAACCTTCGGATGCTAATTCCTCTAAGATGTCGTTTGTTTTGACCCTCTCTTGTATGAGATCACACCATTTCTGAAAGCTGGGCACATCACGGAGTGTGTTCCCCGATAGTAGTTGTTCTAGATCACTCTGAAGAACAAGCCACGAGAGACTGTCCAGAATCATGTCATGGGCAAATAGAAGCAACATCTGTTTTCCTCCTGCACGTTGAATCAGATAAGCGCCGAAGACTGGGCTTGCGTAGGGATCCAACAGCCTGATGCCCGTCTCCCGTAGGCATTCCAAATCCTCGACCAGCTTGATCTCGCGCTCTTCAAAGTGAAATACCCCGTCTACGGCATCCATTACCATCTGGCGGGCTTCACCGTTTTCCAACACCACAAATCGGGCTCGTAACGTAGGATGTCTGGTTAAAAGGGATTGAATCGCGTCTGCCACTTGGCTGCTCTTTTGCTGCTGCTGTAACTCAAGGACTAAACTCGACCCAGTAGACGACAGTTCCCCCGATAGAATGTGCCGCTGAGCGGGTGTTAATCCAAAAAGCAAATTCTGATCGAAACCACCGATCTTTGTGTCGAGTCTTACTTGGGCCCTCTGTGCAAGACTTGCAATAGTAGGCGCCTGGAAGATATCTTGGAGAGTGACTACGACCTGTTCTGATTGGCACTTGCGCACAAAAACCATCGCGGTGATGGAGTCGCCACCCAACTTCAAAAAGCTTGCGCTCACTGCTATGTTGGCATATTCGAGCTGCAGAGTGTCTGCCATCAGACGGACCAGGCGTTTCTCCATTGGTGTCGATGGGGGCACCATCTCAGAAGGCTGGCCGTACATCAACTTGTCGAGTTCTGCCCGGGTCAATGCACTGACTTTCTCCCTTAATGCTCGTCGGTCCACCTTACCGGTTATGGTCGTGGGTAGGGCCGCCAGTAGCAGATAGACCGTTGGCACCATAAAGACAGGAAGACTTCTTCGCAAAGATGAATTGATCAGCTGTATCCTGGCTTCAAGGAAAGTGGGGAGCGCGGCAAAGCCGTGCCCATCCACCAACTTGGGGCCTAGTGAATAGGCATCCTTGGAGAATAAAAAGGCGGCCAGCGTCGGCGTGCTGCTCTTGGGAAAGACCAATTCCACGAATATGTCAAAGGATGAACCGAGCTGAGGCCGCATTGACAGTTCGATCTCTTTCAAATCCACTCGCTGACCACGGATCTTTACCTGAGAATCTTTGCGGCCGAGGTGATTGATGGTACCATCGGTGTTATATCGTGCGAGGTCTCCGGTCTTCAGGAGCCGCCCTCTACCGGAAAAGGTGGTAAATTGTTGCCGCCACGCGGGCCACTCGACAAAAGTTGCTGCTGACAGCTCGGGGTGGCTGAGGTATTTCCGGGCGATCCCCGGACCTTCGAAGAGCAATTCCCCCACGGCACCCACCGGGGCGAGTTGATGATGGTCATCAGGGCTCACCAGCCACAGTCGACAATTTGAACTCTGCCCCACGTTCCGGGGATTGGAGTCGCGGGTGACAGCGCAGCGAAAGGTGAGGACGCCGGCATTTTCGGACATGCCGTATGCCTGAACGAGGTGGACTCGGTCTGCCCATCGGTCCAGCAGAGAGGCGTCCAACGGCTCTCCTCCAACTGCGAGCATTCTTACCGTGGGGAGCATGTCTGGGGAGGTAATCTTCGCCAGGGATGGTGGGAGGACCAACCCGGTAGTTCGCATGCGGCTGATGGAACCGATCAGGTCGTTCTTCCATTCGTGATCGGACGCGATGCACAGCACACCACCGGTCAACAAGGCGGAGAAGATCTCCAGGTAGGAGGTCCCGAAGACGAAAGGGGCGAATTGGAAGATCCGATTGCACGTCGCGTCAAAAGGCCATTCTCTGCCCAGGGGGGATCATTCCGGCCAGCGAGCCGTGATCCATCAAACAGCCCTTGGGTGTACCAGAGCTGCCCGAAGTGAAGACCAAAAATGCCGGGTCATGCAGCCCGTTTGGAGGTTTGAATACATCAGTGGGTGAATTACTGGGGATCTGCGATAGCAGGGTGGGGTTGACGGGGAGAACTGGGGTGTGTGCATCGTTGTCGAACAGCAGCTGTTGCTGTGATGCAGAGGTCAAAATCAAAACGGGACGAGCCTGCGACAGGAGTAGCTGTCGATGAGCTGGGGGGTGGGATGGATCCAGGAAAACAAAAGCTGCCCCCGTCCGGATGACAGACAGCATGCCGAGTACCGCCCAGAGAGACTTCTCAAAGCACAGCGCCACGACCGCGTTGGGCCTGACGTTCATCGCCTGTAGATGCGCCATCAGCTGGCCAGTTAATCTATCCAGCTCGCCGTACGTGATCTCGCCATCCCAAGAGCAGATGGCCGGCGCATCGGCCTGCGATCGACAAATAGGCTGCAGCAACTCGTATACCGACGTAGCCGGTGGGCTGGGAATCGGATGACACTCGTTCCAGCGGGCAACCTGGGCGAGATGTTGTTCATGGAAAAGACTGATGGCTCGCATATCCTGGTCCGGATCTGCGACAATCCCGCAAATGGCCTGCGCCGTAGCAGCGGCGACGAAAAACGCCTGGTGCTCATCCACCAGTCGCGGATGAGACCGCAGAGAGACGCTGCGGTTGGTAAAATCAACGAGCAGCCCGATCAGGCACTTCTGATGAGTGGTCAGCATCCGATGTATCTCCTTCCGCTTTCTATCTCTCTAGTGTGACCTACACTGCATTGAACGTCGTCTTTAGACAGTAAGAGTCCACTGTTGATCTGGTTGTGATGATAACTTTGATACAGCAGTTTGGAGGGTGCGCTGCAATCATCGAGCAATTGCTTCACAGCTTCTTCTGGTCGAATGGATGCTGTAACAACGCGAGTTGACCTCTTATCGTTTGATCCTCTGCAAATCAGAAACGCAATCTCTTCTACTCCAGCGAATTGATACAACACCAATGCCCATGCCGCACCCAACAAGGCGCACACGCAATCTTCATTCTCTGCGGGAAGACTGGCTTCCCAACCGGGAATTGGGATTGAGATATTTTTCCCGGGGGGGATCCGTTGCTTTATACGTGCTTTGATTCAGAACTGGAAACATGCAAGGTGGTAAGGTTCCAACGTCTTCTGTCATATTGGAGTGTCTGCGTTCCAGGAGGTGCACATAGAGGGAGATCTGGGCGGGAATACAGAAGTATATCTACAATCAGAAGAAGAAGGTCACGGTTATACTAGAAGGATATAATGGAGTAAAAAAGGGATTTTCAGCTCTCAACATAGTTCGCACTGACCGAAACCGAAACCGAAGATCTGTCTTCTCAGCCTTGGGAAGTAAAAAAGCAAATCAAGGCAATTTTTACTTGCTTTCTCTCCTGCAGAACAACCCATTATTTTACATTTCAAAAACCACTAGTTGTTATCAGCAGAGTTTACCAAAAAAAAGTTAAAAAAAGTTTATTCTTTTTATCCTTCCAGTGCTACGATGCTAATTGCCACTACGGAGTAGTGAGAATTCCTTTGTACCAGGCCAGGCGATCTCATTTGGCAATTGGCCCATGACTTATGGTTGAGCTCCAGCCACAGTCAGTACCTAGGGGCAAATTGGGGGGGGGGTTGAAAATTTGAGGTTCAAAATAGTTTTGTGAGGATTATTTGTAATGTAAACAATCACAGCCACCCACAACCTTCACGCAACCCCTATACCACCTACATCTGTAGCAATACCGTCATTGCCAACCTGGCTTGCCACTAAGTAGTCATACTCTTTGTATCCATTACAGCCAATCGCTCCTATCCGCGTGAATGGAAGCGACACAGAGTGGGGAATGCAGGTTTGGTGTTGATCTCGAATTTGATCGCCTGCTCCCGTCCATGATATGACAGCGCGCTGAATCGCTGCAGAATGCGCACCACCGTGTACTCCATCTGGAACTGTCCGAATGCCTGGCCCGGACAGACTCGAGGGCCAAAGCTGAATGGCACATATTCTCCATTCGGGGGCGTCCAGTTCCCCCAGCGATCAGGCCGCCACTCATCCGCATCACTGCCGATAGAGGATGCACATCGCCGTTGCATTCCGATGACCGAGACAACTGGCGAGGATCGAATGTTACACTTCCTGCATACCGGGGCCTCATATCAATCAGGAGCACTTACACGCTACATTGCCCTTAGGAACAACGATAGCTTCTTGACCATCCGCGCCTCCTCCGGTAGGCAGCGTGGTGTCGATCAGGGCTTCCCGAAAGTTGAAACCGACCGGAGGATGGAGGCGCAAGGATTCGCGGATGACGTTCTTCAAGAAGCTCATCTGGTCGAGATCTTGCAGACTAGGCAGGCGATCATATCCGATACTGTGGAATTAGGGCCGTTCTTGTGTGCATTGGAGAAGGTATCTCACCTGGAGGCAATCTCCGTCCGTAACCTTTGCACCACTTCTGGATGCTGGGCAAGATGATAGAGCGTCCAGGTAATGCCCGTCACCAATGGGTCCTGCTGCCAGTTAATGGTTGAAATGACAAGAATAAAAACAGATGAATGACCTTTCCGGCGAGCAGGAGAATCAACAGAAGCTCTCTGGTTGGCTGATCTGAAGGTCAGCGATGTTCCATGGTGAAAGAGGACAGCCCACCTTGGACTCGGCAATACTCCGGCATCGCTCTGCATTGACCGAATCATCGATGAAGAGATTCGAACCCTGGGAAGGACTCGACATCATGTCCAAAAGAGATTCAAGATATGCGTCAATCTCCTTTTTCGCATTACGGGAAATCAGCCATCCCACCACGGCTCCGATGGGGCTATCATCATTCTCTTTAGTAACAGCCACAGTCAGGACATTTGTTTGACGCACCCAACAAACATCTGAAGGGTGCCTGCAAATCCGATTATGTGTTTTGCCTTCCGAAACTTTTCATACATGTCAATATCGGCCACGGTTTTCTGTCCTAGAAATCGATGGAGAGCCACATTCAGCTGAGCCTTGTCGACGGCATCGTACACATCGATGGGGTCGGGACTGGATGCAATGATCTCTAGAAGCTGTTTGACATGGCATTCGGTGATTCGGATATCCGACTCTTTGATCGAAGCAATCTATCGCTATTAGTTTGTTTTGTGTCCAGTATGTAGATCGGACCGTCTTTACATGAGGCCGAAGATATTTTCTCCTCTCCCTCCATGCCTCCCCATCGGCTAGACGAGAATAAATCTCAGCGGACATCACGGCCATTTGCCGATAGATTGCATGCTCTTACCCGTAAATATGGTGTCCCTAGCGAAATGACCGAGGGATTTCTGGGCGATATCGCCTTTGCCATATGCTTTGAACTGCCTTTCGGATCAGCATTGCTAGTAGAAAATAGGGTCATGGTATCGACTTGTGAGGTGAAGATGGCTTTGATGTTTTCCGGCTCTTCCGTCAAGATGTACCGGGTGCCAAAGATGGTCATTTCGGCCGTGTGGCCAGGACGGTCAAGACAAACCGTCATCCATTCATAGAAATGATTATGTTTGATATGCTTGACAATTGTTTGGAGGGTGAAGATTCCTGGCTGGTTCAGAATGCAGCTGCTTTCCGTCAGGCTGGATCGATCTTACCAAAAGGACCACCGGGTGTTACTCCTCGTGCCATGGGGGATGTGCGCCGAGCTTGAAAGAATAAGGAGACAAGCAAAGGGGACAACGTCATCAGTAGGGGCCATTTCCATGTCTCCAATACAGTGACTGCTACTGGAATGGCCGGGTAGATCTGGAATGGAAATGTGGCATTCATGGTGCAGAAGTTGTTTGAGAGAGCACTTGCCGACTGACATTCAACCTTTACTTATTTCATTTTCTTTGCGATCTGCACAAGAGGCAAAAGCTTGTTTTAAACTTCAATGATCGACAAGTGAGCCTCTTGTCTGTATGGTCAGGGTTATAACATGGCGTTACAGCTGTCGTCGCATCGAACAGGTTAGCGATCTGCTAGTTACACAACATATTATTGACTATCTAGCTATTTAAGGATATAATATAGTATTTTGAACCTATCCTAGCGAGCTTTTACTCCTCATAGTCCTCATGATATCGAACTCAACCGATTAGCTGCCGTAGATGAATGTTTTTTTCTAGCTAAATAGAGTCAATCTCTCTCTGAATCTCTCCCCAAGACCATATCTTGCTGTTGAATATTCCCCTCACCATGTCCTTTCCACTCTATGATTACACAATTCTCCCTTGTGACTCCGAACGGGTCCGCCAGTGGGCTCCCAAATTCATCGATTTTCGATTGACCGCGCTCAAATCAGCCCCGAGAAATTCCACATCATCCCATGAGCTCGAGGCCGCCATCCCCGAGCAAGAATGGGTATTGAATCTCAGTAAACCGACCTTTCGGGTGCTGCTTTCCACCCCTCACCTCGCAGGTGATGCTGCCACGCCCCTCTGGGACCGTGAATGGGCCGGGATTCTATGTATGCACGGCCCCCTGTATGAGCATCCGGCCGCAGACAACTGTACCACGTCGACCTGGTATCTGGGATCGGGCTTCGTGGTACCGGATCATCGAGGAAGTCGTGTCATGTTCGATCTCTTTCATTTTGGTGTGCAGCAAGCGCGGATTCTTGACTTGAAGCAGCACAATCAGCGAGGATTCCAGACGGCTCAGTGTCGCACTCGTGTCCAAGTGATGACATCGCCCGGGCAGACGAGCCAAAGGTCATCAACTACTATCGAACTGGTGGCCTTGAGATTACGGAACATTTGACACTGGGAGAATTTTCCAAACGAGGGCCAAATTTGCTATACAAACTGGATCACCTCGCCATGCCGATCGTTGTGATGGAGAAGTATGTGGAACATGAGGTGGCGATCATATCGCGGCTGTGAGCGATTTTATAGATCTGCAAACTATCGCTTCCTTTTTCCTTTCTTCTCCTGCGGGGTATGTCTTTTTTGGGTGAGAATCGAGGTAGGAATTTTAGAAATATCATGCGTACCTAGCTTCAATGCCACTTTTTACCTCATTCCACCTGCCTTTTGCATCACATTATGGCTGCCACCGAATCGAGAGATGATCACGCAGAACCAAAGGCTGAAGAAGCCTCTGAAAAGAGCCCCCCCTAGCGTATTTGACCACGAAACGCCAAATCTCCCTTTGAATGCCCGGACTTGGACCATCTTCTGCGCGCTGGCGGTTCTCTCGTTCACCATCTCACTCGAGGCTGCCGTGCTGGTCCCGGTGCTACCGGTATGTCCTGACGCCTGGGTCCCTTCCCTTATCTCCCTTTCCTTTCTCACACCTGTATCTGTAGTCCATTGCCTCTGCTCTTCACGGAAGTACAAGCAGCACCTTATGGGCCGGCTCGTCCTACCTGCTAACGGTAGCGGTCTTCCAGCCCCTCATCGGCGCCCTGTCTGAGGAATTCGGCCACCAGACACTGCTACTGGGATCTATTGCTCTGTTCAATATCGGTGTTCTCGTCTGCTCCCTGTCTCACCAGATGACTGCCTTCTTGGTGGGCAGATCGATCCAGGGCCTCGGTGGGGGTGGCATTCTCGCTCTCATCAACATCATCCCCACTGCCATGGCGTCTCTCCGCCAAAGGCCTACCGCCATTATGCTGAACCAGGTCGGATACGCAGCGGGCGCCATTCTCGGTCCGGTGCTCGGTGGTCTCATCGGGCAGTATAACACCTGGCGATGGAGTTTCTACCTCAACTTCCCCCTCTGCGGCGTCACCATTCCAATCTTGGTCTTTGGCCTGAAGGGCCATGGCAGCGCCATCTCTCTTAGGGAGCAGTTTCTTCGCCTCGATTACATTGGGGCAGTGCTCTTCCTCAGCAGCGCCTGCTCGCTGTTGATTGGCATCATCTGGGGAGGCGAACAGTATCCGTGGCGGAGCTGGCAGACCCTGCTACCAATCTTCTGCGGCGTGGTTGGCATCATCGCCACCCTAGCATGGGAGGCCTACCTAGCTCCCAGGCCCTTTCTGTGCCTGTCGTTGTTCAGAGTCCGAGCCGCGAGTGCAGTCTATCTCGGCACTTGCTTCCAAGGATTTGTGGTACGTGTCTTGTGCGTCCCCATGAAGAATCAATCACCTAATTAACAATCTCTAGTTGTTCTGTCAGTTGTACTATCTACCCGTCTATTTCGAGGGTGTGCGAGGCTACTCCATCGCGAGCACCGGACTGGCCTTCCTTCCAGTGACCGGGGCCATGATCGTGGGCAGTCTGGGATCTGGGTCCCTCATCCATAATACCGCTCGATTGCGCTGGATCATCATCGCCGGCTGGACGCTGGCTCTTGTTTCGACCGGCATGCTCTTTGTATTCAACCAAACCACTCAGACCTACAAATGGGTCTTAATCCTCCTCCTCGTCGGACTCGGCCACGGTACGCTCATCGTCTCCCTCAACTACGCCCTGCAGGTACTCGCAGAAGACCGCCAAGTCGCGCATGCCATGTCCATGTACACCTTCCTGCGTTCCTTCGGCATGTGTCTCGGGGTTGCGGCTGGGAGCAGCTTGCTCCAGAATGCGCTCAGATCGCAAAGCTCTCAATCAAGTTCGGCCACGGCTCTTATGGATATTACGAATCTAGCCACTCATCCCGAGTTGCCTCCGGCTCTGTTGATCAGTTTCCGGTATACATGTGCGGTGATGACTGGGGTAGCGATTGTAGGTCTGGTGCTTTCATTCGTGTATGCGGTGTCTTCTTCGGATATTAGAAACCGTTAATATAAAATAGCGACTATCTGTCAAAGCTATACACCCGCTCAGAAGCAGCTCATGTGGTTTGCCTGCAAAGATCTTGGTCGGCTCTCCAGCAACCACAAACTGCACAGCGCGCTCGTGGCTTTTATACTCCTTTTTGGTCAATCAAAATTTTATTTATTATTAGATTTTTGGTTATTCTATATTGTGGTAGATTTGAGTGGTAAAATACCGTACATTGCGTTTTATATATCTGTTGTAGTCGGGATTGTCGTCTACAACAACGACCGTCACATGATCGGAGCCTTAATAACAAGGTGTTCGCTTCCAGGGCATAGTAAGCATTCGCGGATAGTATCAGTACTTAGAGAACACACACACACATACACACACATCTGCTCGTGTCACGGTTTTCGGTCTGTTCGCTGTTGCGGTAACAGCGTATCGGTTGCGAAGGGCTCGAATGTCCTAGGTGCGGTTTCTCGGTAGGGTGCTGCGTTGTCTGTTGCGATAATAGCGACGTACTCGCCCTTTGAGGTTTGCGGTTCTGTCATTTCTTGCGGTCGCTACGGGTCGTTTACGGAGGGCTCGAATGCCCTAGGACGTCGGATCTCGATATGGTACTCTCTTGCCTACAACACCACAGCAGCTAGTTAGTTATAGTGCGCCTTCCAAGCCCTGGAGGTTCCTAGGGTGCTCTGGAATCTGAGGCCTAATGTGTTCACATTGTACCTAGGTAGCCAGTACTAGTAACTAGGTTACTAACTACTACTAGTAGTGTTTGTATAGCCCCCCGGTATTACTACTACAGTACCTAGGTATATAAACTCGATACCTAGTAAGTAAACTCTGATTAAAATGGAGACTGCTGCCTACTGCCCAGATGGCAGGAGCCGAGGCATGCCTAGGTACTACTAGTAGGAATATTTGCAGGTTTTCATAACTTTGGCGGACTGTAGCGACTCGGATAGGTACCAGTATGCAATAGCCTGGCAGGTGAATAGCAGGGTGAGCATGTGAGACTGAATTATTGAGACCAATCAGAAGGTTCATATATCAATTTCAAAAGACGGGATTATTTTCACAGGACTACTGGGATCCTTCAAGTGCTGTACCGCTTTGAAAGCGATGGAATGAGCTTTTGTTGAATCTTGGAAGTACCTTGGTGTCATTCCCTTCTGGTGAGGAAGAGCGTCTCTCATCAAATTTGCCCTGAGGGCTGCCGCAATGGGATCCCAAAATCTGAGCCACTAACCAAGAATTTATTCAAGGTCCTTGAATTGAGCCTTGAGCCGTCGAGAATTACGAATTGCCAATTTAGCAATGGCAATCTCGATCCGATGGAAAGTCCGCATACGTTATGGCTGAGAATCTTACTCAAGCTTCATAGAGCCAATAAATGTCTTGGAATTCATCAATGGCCGGATAGTCTAGTTGGTTATGACGCATCGTTAACACCGATGAGGTCCTCGGATCGAGCCCGGGTCTGGTCACAATTCTTTTTGCCTTTTCTTTTTTTTGCTGCTTGATTTAATCGTTCGGGGTGGGTGGGCCCCGTCTGACGAACGAGAGAAACAGCAACTCACCGCCATCAAAATTTGCTACCATGTTAGACACAAATAGATGGCAGAGAAGCAACATTGAAAGGTCAAAGGGCCACATTGAAGGTTCAACCTAACGTGGGCTTCGTGGGAGGTGTCATCTATTCTGCAGAGAATTGGTTGTTGCGGCTTGACCATTTCCTAGCCTCTGGTCTGGTAGTGCAACATTGAAGCTTTCAAGGCTAATATCTGATGCGGACATAGAGTTCAAGTTGCAACAATGGAATCTTGCTAGCCGTCCAAAGGTTGTTTGCTCCGAATTAGTATATGATATTGTCACCGTTAGCAGTAATAGTAGGGGCATCTCCCAGTGCGAGTTTAAAAATTCTGCCAGCGGGAGCCCTGGAGGCTACTACTAGTAGCTTTCAAGCCCTGGATATTTATCAGTACTAGTAGCCTTCTATATACTTTCGTGACCGGAAGGAGACTAGAGGCTTAAACTTGAGTTTTCATTCAACTTGAAACCCAGCTTGCAAGGCATCGTTAACACTAGACATCGGGATCGCGACCCGTGAACTCCCTGCCATTGGCGGTGATTTTGAGCATTAGATTTCAATGAAAGATCGTGCATCTTTGACATACTCTCTTATGGAGAGCATATGTTTGAACCATACACTGGACGGGCTCGACTATTTGCATCTCAGCCGATCAGATAATTCAATTTGTCCTAGGACAGATCTGGATGTGACGGCATTCTTCTGTTGCGATACAGCATCTACTGCAGGTGCCTACTAGGTACCTACTAAGTAGTATCTCGTCCTCCGCCCAAGGATGGCCCCGAAGATTTACTAAGTTCAAGTTGTCCACGGGTCGAACACCAACTTGAATCCGAGTCTAATATAATATATTTCTACTCCCGACTCGGAGGTCCCGGGGTCGGTTCCGACCTTTGGAACTTGAAGGTTCCAAGGTTGCTGATTTGAGATCTACAATTTTGGTAACTGGTAGGACAGCACGCGTATCGCACCGTGCTTTTAAAACTTTATATAAAGCACCGGAAAATCTCAGAGTACCCGCAGGTGGTGCACTGAACGCTGCGATCAAGTTTAAACCCAGTTCTCATACGTATTGTAAGAGCGATAGAACGTTCATATAGGTACCCCTATACCACCTTAAAAGATCACACGAATTCCATCGTGCCAAATCTCCGCGGAATAATACTTGACAGCGGAGATAGTAGGACTATCCCAGCCCCAAGTCTCCGCCTAATATGGGTCTATGGAGCGAAGTCAAGAAATCCACCGAGGGAAGAATGCCGAAGCTCGACGGTGTATTTGCATAGGCTGTTATAGAAGTCTTACTATTTCGAACTAAGGAACGGCGTGGCTATCCAATGGGAAACGGTCATTTCGGATAACGTGGCTTGGCCAGGGTTATGAGAAGCTTTTTTGCCAATTTCGTGGCATCCATGGCACTGCAGCCAAGAAAGTCAAGACTTCGGATTTTGTCGTAGGTTCACGATTGAAGGATGCCTTTTTAACGCAGGACGAGAGCGATATAACTGTGGACTACGGCTATACGCTCCAATCGAAGTTAGAGAATGTCTATCCTCATTTGGTTTTTCCCAAGGGTTGGCTAGAAGGCGCGCAGATACGGGGAAGTCGGATCCACCGCGCTGGCTATTTTACCCGGGCACCTTAAACCATCCCCGCATCCCTCCCATGTTCGGGATCAATCTGGGGACCGACAATTGACCAGGAGAGGACGGGCTGGGAGTAAGCTCCTCCATCGGTCAACATCCGAAAGTATGATCAAGCCATCAATCCAGATAGAAGAGATGGTAAACCAAACGAGCACCCCGCGCCAAGCTTCGCCCCCGGCCCGCCGAGTCTCGGAGAAAAGGTTATTTGGCCGGCGTTGCACTCCTGATAGAGCTTCGTGGCCAACACGTTTGGGCCTTATGTGGCCATGCTGTACCTGCTGCACCGTCCCTATTGGTTTTTGGACTATGATTCGACCGAGAACCTCCAACGGCATTTGTGCGGTGCGTTGCTGTGCCGGTTGTGCGAAGAAATTAGGCTAAGTCGGCAAGGATTTCTGCCCGCGCCATAGGATAGGCCGAGGTAATCCATAGGCCGACCTAGTTAGGGCCGATAGATCGGACGGCATGAGGACATGGGATGACTCCGTTGGACGGAGACTTGAAGTGGGTCCGAGTCGCGGGGAGGGCTTGGGGATTGTTTTCTTTCTCTCCACATCCCCGGGCTGGGCAGATCGGCGGAGTAAGTCTGGCCCGATAGACATAGAGGGGGTGTGCAATCACGGAATAATAGGCGAAGCTACCATGCGAGGCGAGGACTTTCCGAAGTCGGCGAATTTTTGTATCGGCGCGGATTCTCCGGATGTTCCCCGGATGTGACGTTGGAACAGGGGAGGGATTTCCCCAGAGTTCAAGTCAAAATGCGGGAGGGGAGGAACAGGAACCATAGGAAATGACGGGTGGCCCGGCGATGGGAACCAATCTAGAGAGACTCATAACGTGAAAGGGGTTAGGAACAGCGTCATTGAGATAAACCTTGATTCAAGAAGTTGCGCCCCAGTTCAGCCACCAGAATCAAATTCCAAATGTAGCACAGACTCATAGGCGAAAGAGAGAACGAGAAATAGCTACCATGTCCAAAAGCCTCCAAGATGCCCACATTTACCTCCAACCGTCAAGATCGGCAGTCCAACCCTGGTCGCGCGCCCTTCATTCGTGTTTGGCCCCAGAGGATGTTGACTCGCGTGCGCCAGACGAATGAGATAAAGCGGGGTTAGTCCAGCGTGACAGTCCTTAAGTTCGAAGTTAATAATTATTAGGGCAGTAAACTGAGTAGGAGTGCTGCTGATACTAGCGGAGGTGAAAAAGGAAAGCCGACGTCGGTATTTAATACAGGCCTCCCCTGCCTTTCAAGTTCAAGTCTCTCCCCCTTTCAACTTCCTTCCCAACCCATATTTTTGTCTTTTGTCTTTGGCCCCCAGATATACTCTCATCTGGATAGTGGCGCCATGGCAGACACACAAGACCACTCGGCCATGCCGTTGGACTCTCACTCACCGGATATTGAGGAGAATATGAGTATCGGCCGCTACATCGCGACGCGCATTCCATCTCTTAAACCCCCCATGAGACCGGCCCCAAACCCATTTAAGGCTTTGACTCTACTAAACCGCCAACAATGGCTTTTCTTCGCAGTATGTATCTCCTTAGACTTACCCTCTGCCTACAAGCAAACAATATACTACATCTACTCCACTCCCATTCTTCCTCCCCCCCACGCCGAATAGAAAATACCATCCCAGAAAAAGCAAAACTAAACCAACACTTCCTTCTAGGTCGCTTTCGCTGGATGGTCATGGGATGCCTTCGATTTCTTCACCGTCTCTCTCACAACCTCCCAGCTAGCCAAAACCTTCGACAAATCCGTCACAGATATCACCTGGGGAATCACCCTAGTTCTAATGCTCCGATCCGTCGGCGCCATCACATTCGGAATCGCCTCTGATCGCTGGGGCCGTAAATGGCCATTCGTAGTCAATCAGCTCCTCTTCATCGTCCTCGAGCTCGGTGCTGGTTTCTGCCAGACATATAAGCAATTCCTGGCCTGTCGAGCTCTGTTCGGAATTGCCATGGGTGGTCTATACGGAAACGCGGCTGCTACGGCTCTCGAGGACTGTCCCCCCCGAGGCCCGTGGTATTGTTTCCGGTCTCCTGCAGCAAGGTTATGCTTTCGGATACTTGCTCGCGACGGCCTTCGCTCGGGGTCTGGTTGATACCACGCCTCACGGCTGGCGTCCGTTATATTGGTTTGCGGCCTGTCCGCCAGTGTTGATTATTGCTTTCCGTCTTTGCTTGCCTGAGACGGAGACTTTCCGGCGCAGACAGGCGACGAGAGAGGAGGTGCGTGGTGGTGTTGCGGCATCGTTTATGTCTGAAGGAAAGGTCGCTTTGAAGCGTCATTGGCTTTTGCTGGTCTATCTCGTCCTGTTGATGGCTGGATTCAATTTCATGGTATGTCTATTTTTTCTCTCCTACTATTGTCTTCTTGAGACAATGAGTGTAGTACTAATACAATCACGCAGTCTCACGGCTCCCAAGATCTCTACCCCACCATGTTGGAGAACCAGTTCCAATTCTCCAAGAACGCCGTAACGGTCACACAAGTCGTTGCCAACCTAGGAGCCCTGACTGGTGGTACTCTCTGCGGCTGGGCTAGTCAGATCTTCGGCCGTCGCTTCTCGATCATCGTCATCTGCATCGTTGGTGGCGCCCTGTTATACCCATACACATTTGTCACAAGCCACAACGTCATCGCAGCGGCGTTCTTCGAACAGTTTATGGTCCAAGGTGCCTGGGGAGTGATCCCCATCCACCTCATGGAGTTATCCCCCGGTTCAATCCGGACCTTCGCCGTCGGCACAGCCTACCAGCTCGGTAACCTCGTTTCGTCGGCCAGTTCGACGATCGAGTCGACGATCGGCGAGCGTTTCCCACTGCCGCCGACGAAGGAGGCTGCCAAGCGCTACGAGTACGGCAAGGTCATTTGCATCTTCATGGGCTGTGTCTTTGCGTATACTATTCTGATCACGCTGGCTGGGCCGGAGCGTCTGGGTCGGAACTTTGATGCGGAGCACGATGCTGATTTGGCGGAGGTTGCTGCTACCCGTGGTATGGATCGCGATGAGAGTGATCCTGAGAAGGCGACTGCCAGACACGTTTAGCTTGGAGTTGCGATGTGTGGCTGGCTGGGTTGAGTTATGGCTACCATCTATGGATTGAATCTAAGAGATGAGATACCCCCGTGATGATGAGATGATTTATCAGATATGGTCGCTATTGGCCAGGAGATGTGAATTTGAACTACGCAGATCATGCATAGCTCGTTAGATAGCTAATTGGATAATATTTGGTTAGGATAAACCAATGCGATGCGTACTTGAGTGAATACTAGTAGAAGAGGGCCATTCATTATGTGTTGCGTATATACCTTACTTACTAAAGTAGCTATCATGGTCTTGGCATCAGAGCTTATGCTAAGAAAAGCCCGAGCCCGACTCGAAAAGTCGAATACTAATGCAAGGATGAATATCCACGTCAGCCGATGTCGCAATTTGAGAATCGCGAGAAGCACAAAATAGCAACGACAATCTGAGTCTGCTTAAATGAAAGCTTATTCCGGTCATTTCTGGCCGGTCTAAGAGTTGAAGAATTTCTTCATATCGATCCTGGGGAGTTTGTATGTAGTGGAGAATGGAACAGGTCTTACCTGGCACTGATTCAACTGCGGGACCCCAAAAGACACTACTAGTAGTAAGCCGCATGAATTGCCGTGGGAAATGGAACATTGTCAGCCTTTTATAGGCGATGGCTGACCCCGCACTGAGCAAATACCGGACTCGACTTACAGGGGTTGCACGACCGTGCAGGCGAATCGTGTCTATAATTGGTCTGGGTGATGGTGGGCGGCTAGTGAAATGCCAGCTTGAAACTGGGAAGATCCGAGCTGCTGATACGAATGTTTCATTTTGAGTTCTAGTACTACTACTAGTACTATATTGGAGTACATCAGAGCGTGGATAGAATAGAGTCGTATAAGGTATACACTAGTGTTTATGGTAGATAACCAACGAGGTACGAGGTACAAGGTGCTACAAGTGTGGGGTAATCAAATTAGTAGTAAGGTAATAATTATGCCTTACTTTTACGGAATACTGTGTTTGGTGTGACTTGCTTTACGCGTGCTGCAGGTCCTTGGGGACTGCCAGTGGTTGTTGGTTGCCTGGGGAGGCCGCGTGTACTAAGAAGTTAATACGGTATACCTAGGCACACACTGTAACTTTTATGTCTGCTATAGCTATAACCATATACTCATATAACTAGACTGAAGAATAAAGACTATATAGCTAACTATACCTAGGTACCTAGGTAAGTGACTATAGTCCAAAGTAAATAGTACTAGTATAAACCACTGCCAAGCCTTTCCAAAAGCGTCCAGATTCGCAAGATCTGCCAGATGATACCTAGGGTAGACGGTTTTACTCCACTCTTCAGGTTCCGGGTATTGGCACTTTTTCAGGGACTTTTCAGGGACTAGGATTTACACTCGGACTGGACCGATTTTAGGAACTCCCCTATATTTCCAGCAATTCACACCTTTCTGGTGGCAACTGATAACCCACTACACTTTTTTGCCAAGTCCGACCACCAACACCAACAGCCCCGGGGCCGCTCCCGTTTCTCCCTCTCCCTCTTCTGCCTCGAAATCTCCCTCTCCTCTCCCCCAACCTTTCCTTCTCCCTTCGCATTCCATTACCCCTTCCTCCCCCTCCCCTCCCTCCCCCAGCTCAATCACGGGTCCTGTGTGGCCAGCCCTGTGCCAAGATCCTGTGCTGGATGAGTCCCGACTCCGCTTCCTCAAATGCACAGACGTTCGTCTGGCTCTCCTGTCGCGGACGACACTGACGATTCCCCGACTCGATCTCCAGACGATCATGGCCATATCATCGAGAATCACGATAATTCTCGGTCGCAAATAGCCAGGCACGGCACCAGCTTTGATCTCCGCCGCGATACCGGTAGCTCCACGCCGCGTTCCCGAAACTCCAGTCTGTGGCGCACTCCCTCCTCGCAACCTTCCAACGACACCAAAGCCATGCCATTGGACTCTCCGCGATTGCCAATGGAGGCCACCTCCCCAGATGGCCGTCGAGCCCGTCAGTCACGCCAGAGGAGTCCCTGGTCGATATCCATCCTCACCGCCGTCACCACTTTCGCTGCCGTTGCCTTTCTCATCGCCATCTTTCAGTCGTTTACCGAACGACAGGCCGGTCACAGTGGCTGTGGTGTCCCTATGATGAGCCCAACCTTCATCCGGATGCTGGAATTCGACACCGAACATACGCGCTTCGCGAGCAAATACAATCTGTTCCTTTACCGGGAGGAGGGCGTAGACCCATACACACAGGATAATATCGGAGTAGGAGGATCTTTCCTTGTTGATTTGTCCCAAGTGACAGCTTGCTGACTGTCCGATCGCATTTAGTTGAACGGTGTTCCCGTCCTTTTTCTTCCCGGCAATGCAGGCAGCTACCGACAGGTCCGATCCTTGGCCGCCGAGGCTTCGCGACACTACTACGACGTGGTTCGACACGATGAAGACCGACATGCGAACGGTGTTCGTAGCTTAGACTTTTTCATGGTGGACTTCAATGAGGACATGGCCGCCTTTCACGGCCAGACCTTGTTGGACCAGGCCGAATACGTGAACGAGGCGATCTCCTACATCCTATCACTATACCACGATCCCCGACGAACGAGACGAGACCCCGCATTGCCAGATCCCAGCGCCGTAGTCTTGATCGGACACTCTATGGGTGGTATCGTGGCTCGCACGACTTTGACCATGGCCAATTACCAAGCCAACTCGGTCAATTCGATCATCACAATGTCTGCGCCTCACGCAAAGCCACCGGTTTCCTTCGACTCCGACATCGTCCACACCTATAAGCAAATCAACGACTATTGGCGTGAGGCCTATTCACAAACCTGGGCCAACAACAACCCGCTATGGCATGTTACTCTGATTTCGATCGCTGGTGGCGCGCGCGATACCGTTGTGCCCTCGGACTATACCAGTATTTCATCTCTCGTACCCGAGACGCACGGATTCACCGTGTTCACATCTTCCATTCCTGACGTGTGGATCGGTATGGACCATCTGTCGATCACCTGGTGCGACCAGTTCCGGAAATCGATCATCAAATCACTCTTTGAGATCATCGACGCGCGGCGCCCAACTCAAACGAAGCCCCGAGCGGAGCGCATGCGAGCTCTCAAGCGCTGGTACCTAACTGGCTTAGAATCGGTGGCCGAGAGGACCCTTGCTCAGAAGGAGCCAGACACTCTCCTTACTCTCGAGGACAATGCCAACACCATTCTCGCCCAGGGTCAACGGTTGATTCTACGCGAGCTTGGTGAGAGACATGGCCCGGATGTTCGCCTCCTGCCGATCCCTCCGCAGGGTGTCTCCGGCAAGAAATTTACTCTTCTTACGGATCAAACTCTCAACAGCCAGGGTAATGTCGAAGTCCTGTTCTGCAGCGTGTTTCCTCTGAACAATGGTCGCTCGACGGTCTTTTCGATGAACCTGGATTTCTCCGGTGGCACTGTGGGCTCAACCCGCTTGGCTTGCAAGAGTGCGGCGGAGGATGTTATCCACCTACCTGCCTCCACTCGCGAATCAAAGAAACCCTTTGACCCCGTTCCGCCATTTTCCTATCTCCAATATGATTTGGAGGGACTTGCCGAGCATCAGTTTGTTGCTGTCGTCGACAAAGCTAACGTGCCTACCCACGGCTTTGTGGTCGCGGAGTTCTCAGACAGCTCCGACTCCATGCTTCGAGCAAAGGTTGGGTTAGGAAGCTTGTTAAGCGCAGGTCTCAAAATGCGGCTTCCAGCCAACCGACCTATGCTCACAGAAGTGAACATCCCAGCTTTGCATTCCAGTCTTCTGGACTATCGGCTGAAGGTCACACGCCATGTTGGAAAAGACCAGAAAGAAGAACTCTTCGCTCCTCTACTGCGCCAGTCCATCTCCGACCCTCACGAGTCGAAGTTCTTCGTCAATGTGAATGAAGTCAATGTCAATCTACATGGCGTGGCTCCGTTCATGCCATCTCCTATTCGCGAGCAGGCTGCCTCGGGTGGTGTGTCATTTCAGCTATGGACTGACCCTAGCTCCGGTTCGACGGTGGATGTTTCTCTTCAGGTGGATATCACCGGCAGTCTTGGTGAGCTGGTGATGCGGTATAGAACTATCTTTGCCGCTTTCCCTTTGCTTGTCGTGGCTCTCGTGCTACGAAAGCAATTCCAAATATACGACGAGACGGGTTATTTTATTCCCTTCACCGACGGACTCGGCCGAGCACTTCGGTCTTCCCTTCCACTTCTGTTGGTCGCCATGTCGCTTTTGGCATCTTCTCTTGCGACCTCCAAAGCTCTCCCTCAGTCCGATGATCCGTTCCATTGGCGGACGAACTCGACTGAGACTCCTCTCGATTTCACCAAAAACGATCTCCTCCTTGGCTCTCAGGATGCATTCTTCTGGTTCCTTGTCCCGATCTTCGGTGTTATAAGCGTTGGTGTTTGTGTCTTGGTCAATTACGTTGCCCTTCTTCTCGTCAACATTTTCTCCCTAATTTATGGGGCTGTGCACAGCAAATCGGGTTATATACGGCGCGAGGACCGAGGAAATCTTCCTATTTTCAATTGCCCCACCCCCCGACGACGCGTGATTCACACCGCAGTCCTTCTCCTTCTCGTCTCGACCATCATCCCCTACCAATTCGCTTACATGGTCGCCTGCATAGTGCAGCTGGCCACGACTGTGCGGGCACAGTGGCACGCCAAGGAAACCAGGACCACCTCTCACATCAACTTCGATAACTACGCCCACTCGATTCTTATCCTCATGCTCTGGATTCTTCCGATCAATGTCCTGGTTCTCCTAGTCTGGGCGCATAACCTCGTGGTCCATTGGTTTATGCCATTCTCCTCCCATCACAACGTCCTATCCATCATGCCATTTCTCCTTCTCGTCGAGACAATGACCAGCGGTGCGATGATCCCGCGCATCACAACTCGGTATGTAAAATTTCCCACTCGGCCCACTATCCACCAGTACTAGTGCTAACTACAACAGCTTCAAACATGTCACTTCGACGATCTTCTTCGCCATCGCAATGTACTCCGCTGTCTACGGCGTGACATACGCCTATCTCCTGCACCACCTAGCAAACCTGCTTGCGGCGTGGTTTGTCGGTATATATTTAGTCGGCAACAATTTCTCCCCGCGCCGGTTATGGCGCATAATCGACGGCGACGAACCTCCTTCTGAACCGGGCAGTTCGCGCCATGTGAAGAAGAAGCCATGATAGCCATTCCGGCCACATTAAACCCTTTTTTCGGATATCGAAAAATCGAATAAACCTTTCCATCGTTTCTTTCCATTTTCTATTTTCTTTCCTGCTCTGTTGCGCATGGGAATGGAGTTTGAGCGTTTCTTCTTCTTCTTGTTTTTGCCCATTGTACAGTGGAAATGAAGGTCCATCAAGGTCCCCACGCACCCATACCAGATCACACCACACACCATCTAATATCCCCCTTCCGACCTACCTGCGCGAGAAAAGGAAACGATTTTCCAACTCCGCGACTCTCTGATATTTCGTGGCTGGGCTTGGCCTCGCTTCGCTCGATTTAGAGGTACTGCTTGTATATACCTCCTTGCTTTTGACGGTTGTGTTGTTTTATGGATGCTGTCCTGGTTTCAAATAGACATTTCTTATGGATGATGGCGCTATAGAACCGTTTACGATGAGTAGTATTTTTTCATTCATCCATCTACTACCTAGGTACTAGTAGTAGCTACTGCAGGCGGCAGTCCGTACTAGTATCAATCAAGACTCGGGGCGGCAACTTTCTATCTTGTGAGCTTTGTCTCTTAGTGACTCGGATTCTATAGCATACCTAGGTAATCCGCCTGGGCATCCTCATACTAAGACGTAGAATTTGAATTACGGTTTGAGGCACGAATACTTAGATGATGAAATGATGCGTGAAGATACCATGTTAGATCATAGCTGATATTCTTTGTACAATCTAATTCTCAATAATAGAACTAGCTGATCCCAAGCTTTGTTTCTTCCGATCTAGAAAAAGTCTAAAGAATGCCCTGCAAGAATGTAAAATAGGCCGCATCAGCACAACGCAAGCACATATTATACCCAGATTTATCTCGAGAACTGCCCATGTAACTTCGAATGCTCCGCTTGCTGTCATAGCAATTAGTATCCATATACTTTAGAGCAGTATACAACATACCAGTTAAATTATCGGCCTGGTAATTGACGAGCTCAACAACGCGCAAGATACCAAAGATGCATACACTAAGCAGAATCAGTATCTTCAACTTACTCAAGACTGTTATGTGTAACAGAAGGCAGAGAAACTTACATCCCACCAAGTCCAAATAACATCGTAATTCGAATCTTCTCAGTCCACGTGAGCATCATTCGCCATACATTTGCAATTGGAATAACCAGGAGAACGACATCTTCGGCGAGAGCTAAAGACCCCATTGTGATAGCAAATGCTTCTTGATTGTCAGGACATCTCCCTTCGATATGCTTCAACCAAAAATAGCGAGGGGGTAAGCATTGCAAGGTATTGCCGACAATGTTTGTGATCCCCCAAGCTATTGTGAAAACTATCAATCCAGTGGTAACCTGTTGCCAAGACCCAACTATGGATAGAAGACGGCGGATGAGCATTATAATGGATAGCTTCACAAAGACATGTGATAGAACCCAAAACTTTTGTCCGAGCCAAAATACCTAATTTGCTGGATTAGTGCTTGAGTACATATGAGGTAAGTTGGGACTTATCCATACAAGTCCGACTCGCCCCTGCGTTTGTCGGGGCAACGCCCAAATATTGTGGCCGACACCATTCAGCGAGGCTATCGTAGAAAATTAGTAAATGACTTGGAGGAGTCCATAGCTTGACACAAGTTCAAGAAAAGAGGAGAGAACCGGGAAGACTTCTGAACGCACCAATTACGACACATGCACTAAGTAGGTAGGAGAAGAGCAATCCAATTCCTAGGAAAAGATCCTCAATGGCTGGCTTCCAGGAAGTTTTATTCCGGCTAAACAGACGTAGAAGGAACGTAATCGTGGCCAGAGTTACAAAAGTGATGGCGATGGCTATAAGGGTTCGACTCCAAGAGGGCGATTCTCGTTGGTCTGGCATGTATATGATATAGTGAGTTGAAAGAATGAATTTCTCAAATTGCAACGGCTTTTCACATCACAGGCAAAATATACGACTAGTAGAAGCTGACTACATAGGTTGCTGTGGGAATTCAATGATGTCAGTACAGGAGTCTCCTACGTAGTAAACTATTGGTCTTGTGGATTAGTCATCATTTTTTTTATCAAACGCTGCGATGGCTAACACTGTGAAAGCCAGAGACCTCACTGGCAGTACTAGGATGAGTAGTTATTTATACATGACCAGACCACCTCCAGCCCTGTTCATTTTACCCCCTCCTTGGTCCTTGGAAGTTCACCGAGTAAAAATGGACATTGAATTCGCCCAAAGACAAGCCCGCAACACAACTCGGACAATTTCCTCAAATCTCACATTCCAACTCCTAACAATCGGCCTTGTGCTAACTCAATTCTCATGCATCTTAGAATTTATCATTATCATTCCTCTCATCAGCGCTTATCTTTTTCTCCCCCTAATCCTCATGTTCCTGGTGTTCTTCGCACCCAATAGGATTGACAATCCAAATCTCGCCATTGATCGGGCGCCGCGCCGACAGACTTTAGCTTTCGAATGAATACCACAGAGTACAGTGCGAATAATCTGATCTGGAGGGCGTTTTCTAGGTTCGCTGGACCCCAGCCTTGAAAACTTGGAATATGATCTACGTTATGTTGCGATGTGATACTTCGAAAATAAATCTGACTAAGATTGTGCTTATCCAAGCTCACCAACCTTACTAGCCTTACTACATTCCTAGGTAGTAGGTTGTCAATAGTGTAAACGAGATAAGAATCTAGACCAGCGTACTAGTACTAGTAGGCATTCAGTGCGAGTCCTGGTGTGCTTATATACTGGTAGAACCGCGTCGAAGAAGTTTCCAACCACAGAGTCCTCCGTAAAATAGTTCTAATAATATCTGGCTCTGCAAACCACCCGTCATGTCGTACCGGTACCTGTTCGCTAAGCCACGCATGCTAGGTACGGAGTACACACACGTACATCCATGCACACTACCAGCCATGCCATCCATCAGCTCAGGCGCCCGCTGGCAGATCCCGAATCCGAGCCAGCAAGGTTTCCCCTTTACGCGGCGGAGATGATAGGTTCGGACGGACCGAATGTATCAGGATAAGGGCCTGAGCGAGACGGGCAGGTCGAAGGGCCCTGGGCATTGACAAAAGAAATATTTCAAAAAGGGGCTGGCTGCGGTGATTGACAGGGGCAGCGTTTGGATTGCGATGGGATCTTTCAGCCTTCGAGCATGGGGTCTACAGTGCGTGAACTTTCATCAGTAGCGTATACTACTGAGGAGTGGATGACTCCGTATCTGTACCTGTATCTGTATCTGAGCGAGATGTATTCGATTTCCTACGTGGACCCATCTACCCCGGATTCCACGCATGAAAGGGGGAGGGTGGGCCCGACATAGACTAGTCACGCAAGGGTGAGATTTTTTTTGCTCAAGGGGAAACCTACCATGCCAGATTTAGAAGGGCAGCAGGAAGAAAGGGGGGCGCGATAAGGCCGCCCCATCGAAGAAACTACTGGGGCGATTTCCGGGGCGCATTTGATGCCAAAGGATCCACTTGACCCCGGACTTTATACTAGTATCTATCACAGTCACAGGAATGGTATACTGGCGGAGGAATTAGGATAGATGGACTCAGTCTTAGTGAGGCTTGAACTGGGAAACTGGGAAAGGAGAGGAACGGATCTGTAACAGTGACTGGAAATGACCACTAGACGACGTAACTGAACTCTACGAATCGAATCAAGTCGAATCAAATCAAATCAAAAACGAGGGTGATTAAAGGAGGGGGCAAACGGCAAACGGCAGCGCCACAATGTACTTTGGGCGTGGAAGGACAAACAGCTGGACAAATCAGATGCCGATGTAAGCGCAAAGAAAACGGAAATTTCTTCTTTTTGCTTGGGACAGCAAGGAAATCTCTTTCCCCCTATTTGACCCGAATCGGGTGAATCGGATCAGCTACGGCCCATGTGAACCGTTCCAGATGACGGGCAAATGCCGGGAGGCAAGAAAAAATCGAGAGGCCAGAGTCAAAGTTTGCTGCATTTGTTTTGAGTTGACACAAGGGATTGTCGACCCACCCGAGCCGGAGTGCCGATATTGAAATTTAATCTTTTGCCACTTGATTTCGGCATACTAGGACTAGTAGGGGTAGGGAGTAGTACTCAAGGTGGTCTACGGGGAACGAAAGGGGAAAGGAGAACTCCGACGCTAGAAGGACTAGAATTTCCGAGCTATGGCTATGTGATGGCCGTGCCAAAGAAGATTTCTATTATGCTCGTCTGAATTAAAAGGAATAAATTAAATATACTAGTACTAGTACCTACTAGGTATCTTGGAAAAAAAAAAAAACCTTGTAGAATGGCCGATAACGATAAGGAGATCAAGCGGTGAGCAAAAAGCGGTGGAAGCTGAACACAGACAGGTTAAGAAGTACAATACAGTGTAGACTGAGACTAGCTGAGACTAAACTGAGACTCATACTTAGCATGGGATAAAAATGGAAGAAATTTTCTAGGATGAGTACATGTGTCTGATGTGCAGTACGGAATACTGCATACTCCGTACAGCACAGCATGTCTTCTATAAGAGGGGTATAGTGATGTCTCATCAAGCATGGGAATTTATTATGAATGCTGGAAGTAGACCACTGGTAATGTATAGTCTCTATTAGTATACTATTCTCTTTGTTCTACTAGTAGTAGTGATACTGCTGGACATAAGATAAAAATATTATATGAGCTGCGCCACCGGATCATGAGTGGCGATTCCTGCAGGCGGGGCAGTACACTACATGTATGTATCTGATTCGGAGTACATTCAAGTAGAGGTACTCTAATACTACTAGTTCTAGTAGGTATTAATTAAAGTATGCTCATTATGTCCATGGCTAGATACACTTATACTTCTAGTACTAGTCTAGTTCTAGATATACCAGTACTATGCTTACCTAGTACGGAGTACCTAGTACAAGATATACGCCTCAGGCACTGGTACCAGCCTCACCAATTAGAACACTGGGATTCGGGAGACTCCTCTCTTCAACCAATCACAAACCATTCAAACCATACTAAACCCATTGCGGACCCTCCCCGCCGCCCGAAGAAAAAAATTTCAGTGGCAGCCCTGGCGGCGAGGGGCCACCACACAGGCGATAAATATCTTCCCCCCCCTTCCTATCCTAATCGCCCCTCCTCTCCTCCTCCCCTATCCTCCCTCTTTCATCTTTCATCTCGAGGTCCTACCCCTCTCCTTTTTCTGTTTTTTTCTTTTCTGCATAGACAGATTAGACTCGTTCTGCAAAAAGAGCGATTGCTGCGTCTTTGAACAGCCGACGCAGCCTGGGCCACACAGCTCACAGTGATACCCATAGAAAAAACTCTTTCTTTACTCTAATTCCCCCTCCAAAAACCGCCAAAATTTCCTCCAAAATGCCTGCCGCCGTCGCCTCTTCTCCTGCTACTACTAGCAAGGAGACCGCTCAGTCGGTTGCTGTCCTCGAGGACCTCTTCAAGAACCTTAACGTCTCCACCACCCCCGATGAGGCCATCGCCGCCGCTGGCAACCTCGCCACTCTCTTCAGCGGTCCCATCCCCGAGCAGGTCCTCCCTGTCAAGGCCGTTGAGAACTTCAAGAAGGGTCTCGGCAACAAGAAGGATGCCGTCGCTCGTGAGCGTGCCCTCCAGGGTATCCGTGCCATCGCTTCCCACCAGTCTATCGCTCCTGGTGTTGAGCCTCACCTCGCCTCTCTGATCGGCCCCGTTCTGGCTGCCGTTGGTGACAAGCAGGTCCCCGTCAAGGAGATGGCCGAGTCTACCGCCGCTGCCCTTGTTCAGGCTATCAACCCCAATGCCGTCAAGGCCATTGTCAACCCCATCCTCGAGTCTCTGCAGAACGCCCAGAAGTGGCCCGAAAAGATGGCTGCCCTGAAGTGCATTGAGATCCTCATCGAGTCTGCCCCCGCTCAGCTCTCCTTCCAGGTTCCCGCCATGATCCCCGTCATCTCCGAGGCCATGTGGGACACCAAGGCCGACATCAAGAAGGCCGCCTACTCCACCATGGAGAAGGTCTGCGCTCTGATTGCCAACAAGGATATTGAGCGTTTCATTCCCGAGCTCATCAAGTGTATTGCCAAGCCCGAGAACGTCGCTGAGACCGTTCACTTGCTCGGTGCCACCACTTTCGTTTCCGACGTCACTGGCCCTACTCTCGCCATCATGGTTCCCCTGCTGGACCGTGGTCTCGTCGAGCGTGAGACCGCTATCAAGCGTAAGTCCGCTGTCATCGTTGACAACATGTGTAAGCTGGTCGAGGACCCCCAGATCGTCGCTCCTTTCTTGCCCAAGATGTTGCCCGCCCTGAACAAGAACCACGAAACCCTTGCCGACCCCGAGGCCCGTGAGAAGACCAAGCAGGCCCTTGACACCCTCTCCCGTGTTGGTAACATCGTCGATGGCAAGATCCCCGAGATCCGCCGCGATGGTGACATCTCCACCGTCTCCGCCATCCTCAAGGAGATCCTCGAGGAGAAGCACAAGGACACCCTCAAGACCCACGAGGTTGTCATCGACTACGTTGCTGCCATCGCTGGTCAGCTCGTCGACGAGAAGGACTCTGACGCCACCACCTGGATCCAGAACGCTACCTCCTACCTCGTTGCCATTGTCGGTGAGGCTGATGCCAAGCCCATCGCTGAGACCCTCCGCAAGAAGGCCTCCCCCGAGGCTGCTGCCAACGACGACATCCCCTCCGACGAGGAGGACGGTGTCGACCTGTGCAACTGCACTTTCTCCCTGGCCTACGGTGCCAAGATTCTGCTGAACCAGACTCACCTGCGTCTCAAGCGCGGTCAGCGTTACGGTCTGCTCGGTCCCAACGGTTCCGGCAAGACCACCCTCATGCGCGCCATCAACAACGAGCAGCTTGAGGGTTTCCCCAAGAAGGACGAGGTCAAGACCGTCTACGTCGAGCACGACCTGGACGCTGCCGATACCGAGCTGACTGTCATTGGCTGGACCAGCAAGAAGCTGCAAGAGGTCGGTCTCACTCTCTCCGAGGAGGAGATCCGCAACGCCCTGGTCAACGAGTTCGGCTTCCAGACCGCTCAACTCGATGGTCTCATCACCTCCCTCTCTGGTGGTTGGAAGATGAAGCTCGCCCTGTGCCGTGCCGTCTTCGAGAAGCCCGATATTCTGCTTCTGGACGAGCCCACCAACCACTTGGACGTCAAGAACGTTGCCTGGTTGGAGGAGTACCTCAAGAACTCCCCCCTGCACCTCCATCATGGTGTCTCACGACTCTCGCTTCCTTGACCACGTCATCCAGCACGTTGTCCACTACGAGCGCTTCAAGCTTAAGCGTTACCGTGGTACCCTCTCCGACTTCGTCAAGCGTGTCCCCTCTGCTCGCTCCTACTACGAGCTCGGTGCCTCCGACATGGAGTTCAAGTTCCCCGAGCCCGGTTTCCTTGAGGGTGTCAAGACCAAGTCCAAGGCCATCATCCGTGTCAACCAGATGTCCTTCCAGTACGAGGGTACCCCCAAGCCCCAGATTCGCGACATTACCTTCCAGGTCTCCCTGGGTTCCCGTATTGCCGTCATTGGTGCCAACGGTGCCGGAAAGTCCACCCTGGTTAACGTCCTGACCGGTGAGCTGATCCCCACTGCCGGTGATGTCTACCAGCACGAGAACATCCGTATCGCCTACATTAAGCAGCACGCTTTCGCTCACATCGATCACCACCTGAGCTCCACCCCCTCCGAGTACATCCAGTGGCGTTTCCAGACTGGTGAGGACCGTGAGACCATGGACCGTGCCAACAAGATCGTCACCGAGGACGATGAGAAGGCCATGGACAAGATCTACAAGGTTGAGGGTACCATGCGTCGTGTCGTCGGCATCCACTCTCGTCGCAAGTTCAAGAACACCTACGAGTACGAGATCTCTTGGGCTCTTGGTGACAACATTGGCATGAAGTCCGAGAAGTGGACTCCCATGATGTCCAACGAGAACACCTGGTTGCCTCGTTCCGAGATTATCGTCTCTCACTCCAAGCAGGTCGCTGAGGTCGATCAGAAGGAGGCCCTCGCCTCCGGTCAGTTCCGCCCTCTGGTCCGTAAGGAGATTGAGCAGCACTGCGCCAACTTCGGCCTCGACGCCGAGCTGGTTTCTCACTCCCGCATGCTCGGTCTGTCCGGTGGTCAGCGTGTCAAGGTCGTCCTTGCCGCCTGCTCTTGGCAGCGTCCCCACGTCATCGTCCTGGATGAGCCTACCAACTACCTGGACCGTGACTCCCTGGGTGCTCTGTCCAAGGCTATCAAGTCTTTCGAGGGTGGTGTTATCATCATTACTCACTCCCGTGAGTTCACTGAGAACCTGACCGAGGAAGTCTGGGCCGTCAACGACGGTCTCATGACCCCCTCCGGCCACAACTGGGTTCAGGGTCAGGGTTCCGGTCCCCGTCTCGACGCCAAGGGTGACGATGAGGAGGACAAGTTCGATGCCATGGGTAACAAGATTGTCACCGAGAAGAAGAAGAAGCTTACTGGTATGTTCATCCCGTGTTTACCACATATACAAATAATCTCGATCTCGATTGATGCTAACTTTATTTCCCAGGCTCTGAACTCCGCAAGAAGAAGAAGGAGCGTGCCGCCCGCCGCAAGCGTGGTGAGGAGGTCTTCTCCGATGAGGATGATATCTAAATTAGCCGATAGAAGAGAAGAAAATTGGGTTCATGGTGTTTATGACATGTTGATGAATTTCTTAGTCATTGCTGAGATAAAAATACATTTCTGGCTGTTCATATAATTGTTGTTTCCTTCGTAGTTTCTGCCTTGGCTTGAGATGTAAACGATTAGCAATAACTTGAAGTTTCCTGCTTCAAGTTCTTGGTACTAGTATTCCAACTTGACGGATCGATCGTGACCTGCTACTAGTATTAACTGATGTGACTATTTGGGCAGATGAGCCTGGAGACTCACTGGCATCACATGTCCTCCAGTGGCAGGTGGTGCCCAGGTGGGTGACTGCGGTGCTTCACCTTCATCTTGAATATAACCCAACTTGCCATATACCAATTCATTCGACGTACTCCGCTTGGTTGTCAATATCTTATTCTTCTCATGGTTTATTGCGATGATGTGCGAATATTGACACCTTTGCGTGGAACCTTGACTTATCTCATTCCTCGTTGCCTACTACCTTGGTCCGGTATAGTAAGCAGTATGCTGCCGTTGGAAAAGCTCACCATGATGGCTCCAGGTATTATACAAACGACTATTGGACACAATCCAAGAGACGGGATCACATATAAAGTCAACAAAAAGCAATACCATGATGGGTAGCAACAAGGCGTTTTTCCCGGCAACAACTTCAACTCCACCCGGTTGCTTCCCTCTTGCCTCATTCGCACTTCTTCACTTCTTCACTTCTTCACACCTCTTCACCCCAAATCAATCCTTCTCTCAAAATAATTCACGGCCTCGCTGTCATTGTCTAGTGCTTTAACGGGCTGGCCCAAGAAGCCATGGATTCAGCTGTGAGTTCCAACTCGAACTATCTCTATCTCCAACCACGCACTAAAGCATTCAGGACCCCGGACCCGACGAGCTACAGAAAGAGCAAGCCCAGACCAAAAAAGTCACCCTAGATCAAATGGAGTCGTCAGCAACACCGAGCTTGAACTTGCTGGTAAGCATATACTCCCACCTCCCTTATCACCATGCAATGGCTGATAACCAACTCCACGATCCAGGACTGTCCCAATCTTTGGGATCCATCTTTAGAAATCGACCTAGACACGCTCTGGAGCATCGATCTGACAAACGTCAATCTAGGCCCCGATCCAGCACCAACTCAAGCTCAGCAGCAGGACACAGTCATGACAGGGACTGCCGATCCAGACCAACAGTCCGTCTCGCGAGCACACGCCCAGCCCAAGCCCCAAGCCCAGAACCAGAACAAGACGGCAGCCCAAAACGAAACAGACAGGGAATGGAACATATTCATCGGGCAGACGATTCCGGACAGACTGCAATTAATAGAGCAATACAACGCCCAGTATCGAGCACACGCACAGCAGCACCAACAATCCTCCTCTACATTCACGCCAACAATATCAACAGTGACACCAACTCCGAGGAACCAGCTCGACGAATTACTCAACAACCCCCACCCTTCACTACAACCAAAACAACCCCAACCCCCAGCCCGAAAAGAAGCCCTGGAAAAAGAAATCAACGCTCTGGCCCGCCGTCTCGCCCTTGAAAAGGACTACCTCTGCGAGCGCCATAACAGACTTATCTTCTTCAACCAGTGTCTGGCGAGTCTGCGGGAGATTCTTCAGCATGAGCGGTTGCAGGGCAATAAGAAGGTTGGGCTCGAGGAGTGGATTGCGGATATGACGGATCTGGTTCATGATTTACGAGCTGCTATTGATGGGGATGAGGAGTCGGTTAGGGAGATTGAGGGGAGATTGAAGGCGGTTTTTAGGGAGTTGAGTGGGTTTTCTGCATAGAGAGTGGTTGTCGAGAGGGTTTGGTTTGGTTGTGTTGCGTTCGAGTGGGAGGCCATTTGTCTCTTGTTATTTTAGTTTTCTTACTTCTCTGTATCGTTGAGGGTGTTTACCAGTGCTACCAGGTGTCGAGTTCCAGGTGTTGATAAGGATGTGCTGTAGTATCTTTATCGATGGCATAAGGTTGCGATTTGGGAACGTCCTAATAAAAGTCTTCGGTTTCAAATTACTCTTCCCGGTTCTGTTTGATGCTCGAGGGGCCATTAACTGATACCCCCTCCAGCATCATCTACTACCGCTGGTCTCTATAAACCTCGACTCTTCCAAATACCGATCCATCTCAACTGCACACCACGATTTAAAGAAAGTATTTGGTGTCATTTCTCATTCTCATGTCCCCTCAAATTCCTGCATCCAGAGACTCGTGAGTATATGCTACTTCCAATGGTCCCCAGTCTAAACGACTAACATGCACAGGGAGTTTCATATCACATACATACAAGTTTCCAACGGCCCGGGAGATATCCTCCACGACCCTTTCCAAAAAGAAATACCTACTCCCGAGGTCCAACACCATGCCGTAACCCCGCAAATTTTCGACGGTTGTGTCTTCTTATGCCGAACCTCCACGTAAGAAGGCCAAGCCACCCCAAGGCGGCGCGGGAGGCTTGGCGGCAAACTCTAACGATTATCGTTATCTCGCCGAAAGCCAAGATCCATTCACATATCACATAGAGACTCTCACTGAATCGGTGCTGGAAAGAGCTGGTAACATCGCTTCGGATAACAAACTTAAAATCCTACAACTTGACATCTTGCACCGGATTGCTGATCTCGCCGAGAGGAGCAGAAACGCCATGCCTTTTAGTGCCGTGGAGAAAGACTCTGTGATTCGACTCGCGGGTATGGGTTTATGGCTCGCAGTGGTTCAAAGATTCCTATGAAGAATTGTCAGAGCATAACAATCTTTCAGATTGTTTCGGGATTTCGGATGAGGAGTGGGATAGTGTACGGAGCGCAACCGCCTTTCTTGACGAACTTGCATATGTCGCCGAAACAATTGCGGATCTGAGTTGCTTCGCTGACATGGAAATAGCGTGTAAGAAGTTGAGAAGTCTGCTTGTGAGCGTTGCAACTATTTATGATGGGCTTGAAGAGTATGCTTACCTTAGTTGCTGATATCTGACGTTATTGCATTTCAACTGGTATGCATTCGGGTTGTTCTTTTCTTCTATCGGCAACAGCGAAGTTTCATGGTCTTGATTTCGAGTGAGATTATTGCAGTTATTCGGACCAAATTGGAACACAGATCTTGGTTGTTTATGGGGAATCGGAACGTCAGCAGTAATCCTTTTCATCGTGTTCGTTTTCTTTTCCTGATTTCTTTGATTGGATAAAGGGAAAAAAAAAAGTTTTTGCATTAGGTAGCTCGGAAAAGGATTTGATTTTTCTTCACTCCAATCACCGCGAATGCGTACCCTTTTAGGAGATACAAATTTAAATAGTTCCAAATCCCGATGGTCTATGCAGTGGAAATCAAATAAGCTCGAACTTACTGCCTCACACTACGCCAATGCTTCATGTCGCTCCCCAAAGTAAGTCTCGAGACTTTCTAGCCCATGAATCTCATATCAGACATTAACTCCCCAGCGGTGATCAAATTGTCCCAGGGATAATTCCAGTTGTGCTTTAGTTTGTTCCCATAGTTCACCTTTTATCTCTGAATATTCAATATGTCGAAGCGCCGCTCGCATCACATAAGCCCGACTTGGAGGTAATGACTCAACCACAGATATAGGATGCCCATTCTGGGTAGCCGCAATATCCTCCACGATTTTCACAAGGGTATCTAATGCAGAGGAGGATGTCTTGTGCCATTCTTCAGGAGACTTATGTCGACAATGTGACATATGTTGTACTTGGTTGAGAATTTCCCAGTGTAGGGTGAAAAGAGCCCTAGTACAGTCTTAGTCAGAATGATGATATTTAGATCAACAACTTGCAAAACCAACCTGATAAGTATTGCGTTCGCTGTACAAAACTTTCCCCACTTCCCTTTGGATTGTTCCATCACGATAGTTAAAAATGTACGGAGTGTAGAGTCGAGTCCGCCAAATTGTATCAATTTGGCATCAATATCAGTGAGCTCGATTGCTTTGAATACTTGGTCTAGTAGCCAAGCTGCCTGTGCTATACAGGCATACCCCCCATTCCTCATTGATGCCTCGGCGGTATCTGTAGGCTGGCCGGGTTTGAATTGATTATCGTCTTTTGATGAGTATGTCTCCCTTGGTAGTTGTGCTTGAACATCCGGGAATCTTGCCGCAAAAGGCTGATCAAAGTCATCAAGTTCACAGAAAAAAGTTCTATACAATGGGTCAGATTTTCCTTGGATCTAGATTTGCTAGATTCATACCTTTCACAGATTGCGATTCCCCACCATGTATTTGCTTCCTCTTCGGCTTGGAGGAATTCATTGCCTTCCAGCTTTGTGTTTGGATTTGACAAGTGAATACGGCACGCATAGCCCATCCTTGCACATAGGCCTATGGACGATAAGGCATTCTCCACTTTTCCATTTGCATATTCATACGTGGCAAGAATAATTCCAGTTTGAATAAGATGCAGCGACGGTGGTGATGACGAATACACTTGCGTAAAAATTGTCTTCGCCACTAGATAAAGTGAAAATTGATCGAACGAGCTTTCGTCATGCCCTGATTTCTCGGGATAATATGTAGTCAAGGACATAGCCAAAAGTAGAGTAGAAAAGTCGGCGGAGGGCGGTGCCCCAAAATCGAGCAAGTTGTCGTGAAATCGTGAGCGCGATATGACAGGAATAAACGGATGTATACCTTGGAAGTATTGAGCACTAATATCATCGACAAACTGGCCGGTTTCTCGGATTATTCTGAGAGTCTGTAGGTAGATGGTGGAATCTAAATTCGTCGGGTCCGACGACAGAACATCCGCTAGGGTGTTTGAAACCAGGAGAGATGAACGGATTATCGGATTATCGGTTATCAATGCCGATTTTGATCTGACTTGAAGGAGAATTTTATCATCCCCCGCAGCATATTGACAATCTAGGTTTTTTCTATTAAATGTGTTAATCTAAGATCGCCTCCGGGTTGGAATGACTCACAACTTGCAGTAGCCACAGCAAGGCTTCACTTTATCACATTTCTTCTTGCGCAGTTTACAATTCACGCAAACTAATACTTTCATTTTTCTGTCGCCAGGTTTAAACACGCTGAGTTATATAAAAATGAGATTAAAGATTCAGATAGGAGAAGGTCCGACGATGAAACCCACTTAAATATTACAAATCGATGCATAGGGACAAAATTGGCCTAGCGGCGCCGACAAGTGGGTCCAAATTGTCGGCCGCCAGTGGGCCTGCTCTAAAGTTCTGAATGAAAACACATCAAGGCTGTCGGACTAAAGCGCTGTCGGAGGACGAGCGGCCGCTATATGACTGGGTCTTAAATATCTGATGGGGCGAGATTCAAAAACAGTCATAAAATCAGAAGGATATAAAGATGTGATGATATCCTGAACAAATAAATTCAGCAATTCTCCTTCACAATTCTGTTCTCAATTCTTTGCTACATAGAACAACCAGATGTCGATCGAAAAAGCACAATCTTCTGTCACCGAGGAAAATTTTCCTCCAGAGGGGGGTCTCCAAGGATGGTTGTGTGTTGTGGGGGCAACATTAGCCCTTTTCTCTACCCTCGGGTTCTTGAATGCGTGAGTACTAGTTTCGCATTCATGAATGTTAGTGATACTCACCCCCAAACTAGCATCGGCGTCTTTCAAACAATCTACCAAGAAACAACACTCAAGGAATATTCCTCATCGGAAATTTCATGGATATTTGCAGTCCAATTGTGCCTCATGTGGGCTCTTGGTCCACTCTACGGGCGTGTCGTTGATACATACGGCGCAGCCCCGGTACTAATTCCATGCAGTACACTTTGTGTTTTCGCTCTTTGCATGACCAGCCTTGCGGAAAAGTACTACCAAATATTCCTCTCGCAAGGTCTTGCTTTCGGCATTGGTGCCGGAGGTGTCTTCTGCGCCTCGTTCGTTTGCGTCGGGCAATGGTTTGTCAAAAGGCGTGGTCTAGCGATCGGCATTGCGAGCTGCGGTTCTAGTATAGGTGGAGTTTTGTTTCCCATCTTTCTGGATAGAATGGTGAAAAATGTTGGATTCTATGGGGCGGTTCGGTATACGGCTTTGTTCGTTGGGGTCATCCTGGCTGCGTCTTGCTTCCTGGTTCGCGCACGATTACCTCGAAAGACTTGGAATCGCGAGACTCCGTGGCTCGATGTGACGCTATTCAAGCAGAAGCAGTTTGCCGTCTACACTTTGGGGTCATTTTTTGTCATGTCAGTCATTAATATTGCCTCTTTACGACGAATAGTATCTTTTCTAACACTTTACAGGTGGGGGCTTTGGGGTCCGTTTGATTTCATTTCGACCATGGCTCAAGCGCGGGGCTTCTCCCCCACGCTTTCTCTTTATCTGATCTCCATTATCAAGTATGATGAGCCGGCCACTTCCAGTCTTTCAATCTTAATTCATTAATCTAACCGCCAAACACAGTGCCACCTCCATACCCGGCCGAGTGCTCCCGCCGTACCTCGCCGATAAAATCGGCCATTTCAATGTATTGACTATCTGTGCTTTACTGACAGGAGGTTCGATGCTTGTTCTCTGGCTGCCATTTAATTACTATCCGTCTCATGTCGGCATCATTATCTTTGGTCTTGTCTATGGATTCGTTAGTGGAGCGGTAGTGAGCTTGCTAATGCCGTGCGTTGCCAAGTCTGGCAGCCTCGATACATTGGGCCAACGATTCGGAACCTATCAAATGGTAATTTCTATCAGGTAAGCTAAAACCTCCTTTTTGTGACGAGGATTTTTCACTCACTTCGCTCCCAGTTGCCTCACGGGCCTACCGATCATGGGTAGTATTCTGTCCCAACAAGGCAATGACAACTTCGCTGGTCTGCAAATCTTCGCCTCCGTGGCAGCACTACTTGGGGGTGGTCTCATCGCATACTCGACCTATTTACTAGGATCTAGCCGTGGGACCCGAAGAGTGTGAGCTACGAAGAATCACTTTAATTGAATGGGCAGATGAGCGGCTCAAAAGTGCCGGGTATTATACTTGCCCGGCGCAGGTGGTAAGACAAGCTCTCGGGGGATTCGAAGATTCGAGAACCTACCCACCAAATACCACTCGGGGGCCATTTTCGCCTCATCCGACATGACACCAGAAAAGATTTTCGTCATTGTGGGTGAGACAAGACAATGTGAAATTGTCTTGCGATTCGGGTCTATCTTTCATTTACTATGCCTCCGGTTTTGAAAGCGCCAAATCAGGGGTTGGGGTTATGTCCTATCTATCACAGGCACTTTCATGTACTAGTATATAAGAAATTATGATCCAACACTGTGCATGCGATAATTCTGAGAATTTTATTACAAGTGGGATGAAATAATAGTAGTATACAAAGTCAATCAATGGTGGCTATCCTACCAGAGGTCCAACCTTGACATCAGTTCTCCTTCGCAATTCTGACATCTCTTCTTCCTTTTTCTGGGTCTTACGCCGCTGCGTCAACATTGTTTCGTATCTCTTTTTGCCTCCAAATTTCAACTTCGTGATCATATCAGCCGCCTGGCCACGAGTAAGTCCTTCCTGGCTGACTTTTTCTGTTCGGATGCGAGCTCTGTTCAGCATCTGAATTTGGGAGCTTGTCGCCGGGTTCTGTCGCCACGCTTTCCGGGAAGAAATATAGTGCTCTTCAAATTTACTGCTGGCAAAGGTGTCACCTGCCCGTACAGTCGTCTCTAGATCCGGCCCGGAGGCGATATGTCGTGGCTTGGTGAATGTGGGTTTCTCGGTGACAGGGTCCTTGAATTTCATGACGTGGCGCACGGCAAATCCATCTGTTCCCTTTTCTCTCTCAAGAGCTAACCATCCACTTGAGTCCGACAGGATATACTTATCATCGCTGACACGTACCCATGAATATCGGCTTAATGACCTGATATGCTTTTCGTATCGTGTGTCACCAAGAAGATCGTAGATGCTGTCGTATTTGGTGAACTGTAACTGCACGTCCTCGTCCAGTTCATCTTCCACGGGCGAAGATGGCTCCAGCAGGCTCTCTTCTTGCTTGCTTTCTCGTATCTCTTTTGCGGTGGTATTGTCTAAAACCTCATCTGGGTCAAGGCCAAATAAGGTTGGGGTAGACAAAACTCCTGTTTCCAAGGATGCTACCATGTCAATCACATGGCAATTTTTCTTTCCAGGGAATAAACGCAGCCCTCGTCCTATCATCTGGATGAGAAGATTACGAGACCGAGTTGGTCGTGCCATAACAACGCAGTCGATATTTGGGATATCAGTGCCCTCTGTGAAAAGACCACAGTTCAAAAGCACTGGAAACTCTTGGTTTTTGAAAGCCTCTATTTGCTCCGCGCGGACATTTTTGTGGGTGTTGGAAGTGATGTATCGAGCATCAATCCCCTGCTCGCGAAAGGTCGCAGTCAGCTGTTGCGTATGCTCGATATCCACGCAAAAAACAAGCGTTGATTTTCGATCCTCGGCATTAGCCATCCAAGCGCGCACGGTGATGTTATTTGTGTTCAAGGTATTGACCGCTTTTGACAGTGACCCGAGGGCGAAATCTCCGAAGCTGTCCTTCTTAACTTTAGAGAGATTCGCTCCAGATTTTACGGTGGTGAACACCGCATCGGCCAACCAGTTATCTTCGATCATGTCCACGTAGTCCTTGTGGTAGACAATATGGTCAATTGCGGCTCCCAGCTTGAGTCCGTCAAATCGTGAAAATGTCGCTGAGACGCCAACCAACACGGGGGCATTGGGGGAAGGCTCACTCAGCCCGAAGTGGGCCAGAGCATCCAAATAAGACCGCGCGACAATGTGATGCGCTTCATCTACCAAGATGAGCTTATAATCAGCAGGGTCAAATTTCGTAATACGCCCACGAGCAAGGGTCTGCACCGAGGCGATGATGATATCCCCATGCCCTGTAGCTTTATTATTTCCCATCTCGATCTCGACTGAGAGGTCAGGGTAAGCAAGGCGGCAATGCCTCGCAGCTTGTTCAACCAGTTCACGTCGGTGAACAATGATCATGGTTTTAGTTGCCCTTGCATCACGCGGCGGTATTCTGTTAATGAGTTGTGTGAAGATGACCTATAAAGAATATCAGTATCGTATCTTAGGAAAGGGCTAGATAATTGAATATCAAGTTAACGAACAGTTTTCCCAGCACCAGTAGCCAGCGAAATTCCTAGTCTTCGATGTCCCTTGTCCAAGTATTCAAGAACTGACTGTATGCATTCTTCCTGATAGTCGCGCAGGACAATACTGCTCGATCCCGGCAATGGCGGTGGCACCCCTGAGTTGAAACGTACATGTCGCAGGTAATGCGGTGGTACAAATCTTACTGGATACCTCCGTGGCCGCGCAATCGACAGCAGCCCGAATCTGCGTACGAACTCCATGCGGGTTGCAAGATCTAGGGCTGGTAGAGATGGAAATAGAAACCCCCGAATATCAACGGCGCCGCTGCAAACTGTGCAAACACCCTCTCTTATCGCGATAACCAGCGACTTTTTGGTGGAGCTCCAAGTTCAACTTATTTTTCTCTCTTCCCCTCGAACTCTTCGACACTTTTGCGCAGGCGCTGTAATGTTTTACCTGTGGCCCATTCGAACGCGCCGCTACTTTGCCAGCTCTGCACGATGAGCAGCTCCTCTGCCTACGAACCCGATGAAGACGACACCGAGCTCGATTCCGACTCTGCGCCGAGGCGCGCGCGCCAGCAACGGTCGACCTCGAGAGGTCGAATTCTAAAGCGACTCTCTGTTGATACTGATACAGAGGCTGAGAACCCGGAGACAGAAAAGCTTCGTAAAATCCAGCAAGACCGCCTCGATGCCCTCAACAACCTATTCCGGGATATTCATCCCAACTCCCTCGAGGCTTACACTGGACTTCTCGCGGAAGTTGGAAAGGGTTCTGATCCTAGAAATGTGAAGGAAGACGATCAGTTGTTGAATGTCTCTCAAGATGGCGGGGTGGTGTGGACGGCCACGGAGAAGGAGATTCTCTACAATTTCCTCGATCGAAAGAGCGCCAACGGAATAAAGGAAATCGCGGCTGCAATCGGTACAAAATCGGAGTTGGAGGTGATGGAACATCTCAGGGTTGTCCAAAAAGCCATGCGGAAACGACTTGAACAGCGACGTCTCAGGTGGATTACCGTAGCTGAAATCCCCGCAGCGGCCGAAATTGACCAGGGTTGTTGTGTTGAGCAGGAAAAATATGCCAACTACTTGACCCTCAAAGACGTCATTACAGAAGAACACGCCAACCAGCTCCACTACGGTGATTATGGCAAAATTAGCGAGGTTGAAGCTCAAGCCCTCAGCAATGCAGATCTTGATACTCCCTTGCAAGGCGATATTCAGCTCGCTGCCGGTCTATTCAACACGCCGAATTGGATCTCCCTGTCTAAGGACTTTTGCATGAACTTCGGTGGCGAAAGGGAAGAAGATGACTGGAGAAATCTCATAGAATCGGAAGAAGAGATGCCCTCAATCACTGCAGATGCACTGATGGATTTCTCTACCCTTGCGACCAGTCTGACCCGCCGTTTAATCCAATCATCAATCTTCATGGCCGAGTCACGGCTACGAACTACTGGGGTAATCTCGGAGGACCACTGCGAAATCAAGCTTGGAGACGTCCGAACCGCAATCGAAGTATTGAATTTGAAGCGCAAGCGACCCTCCTTCCTGGAACTTGCGCGTCGAAATCGAATAGTCATAGGCGCATTTCCCCCACAAAGAACTATCGCGACACGAACCATCGGCTATGGCGACGCAATGAGAGTCCTTGGGTATAGTGATAAGAAGTTTTACAAGGCAGCGCACGCCATGGAACAAGAGAAAGTTTCACACAATGATGTAGGTGAGACTGCGTTCAATAACAGAGACGACTCCGAAGATGAGGTCATAGGTAAAGACAGCGACGACTCCGAAGAATATTATGATGAAGAAGACATCGAGGACGAGGCTGTTCTCGATACGCAGAACGAGTCCAGTCTCCCAAATACCTCCCAAAATCCCGAACATCAACAACCTGGTATCTCTGATGGCCAATTGGCCGAAGATAAGGAGGAAGAAGAGGCCGACAACTTTGACCGTGAACAAAGTCGCCGAGAAGAGCTGCGACTCTGGTCTATGTTTGAGAAAGCCCCACCGCCCGCCCTGCTCATTCCCATAGCCGAATGCATCCCTAATCTCAACGAAGAAAGGAAAGAGGCTATGGACGACGAAAAGGACGATCTAGCACAACATGGTATCTCAGAGCACAGAGGCCAAGAAGACGTCGTCGATTGGCGAGACCATACACTTTACCGAAGTGAATGGGAACAATATGGCTCCGACCTGGAAGATCTGGCGGAGGAACTGGTTCAGAATACGAGGAAGCGTCGCCGTGTCGAGGCAGGTGACGCAGAGAATGATGAGGAGGACGATCACGCTCGCTATGATGGTGGGGAGAAGGGTGAAAATGAGGAACAGCAAGGGGAAATAGCTGGAGAAGGGCCCGACCAACCACCCGGCGAATTCAAGTCTGCTGCCATTGTCGAAAGCGAAGACGACAGCGACGACGAAGCTAGCGATGGCAGTAGCAGCGGCAGAGGCAGCCCCGTCGACAGCAGTTCAAGTGACGACAGCGGGGATCAAGAAAGAGGAAACCAAGTCACTGCCTCTGCCCCTACGCCTCCCCCGGCAATTTACGTCGACAGTGACAATGATGACAACAACGAGGTTAGAAACCAAGAGAACGAGGCTGGAAATGAAAAATCCACCGGCTCTGGCTCTGGTTCTGGCTCAGACTCAGACTCTTCTGACAGTTCCTCCTCTGATGACGGCCCCGGCTCTGGGAATCGGGAGCTTGGAGCTACAATTGAGATCCCAAGCGACTCAGATTCGGACTCAGACTCAGACTCCTCTGGCAGTCCCTCCTCTGATGACGGCCCCGGTTCTGGGAATCAGGAGCGTGGAGCTACAATTGAGATCTCAAGTGACTCAGACTCAGACTCAGACTCCAATGCCGATTCATCTGATAATTCATCATCGGAAGATTCTCCTCCGGGCCCATTGCCTGCCGCTACCCATTCGGATCCAATGGATCTAGACGACGACCCTCCTGCTGCACTCCCGCCTACTGGCTTCATGTAGAGAGCAGCCATGACATAATCACAATCTAATAGCCATTCAAACTACAACTTGATTTACATAGCCAAGCCATACCCATACCCAATATACTGAAGTTCTACAAGTTCTACATTCAAGTTACTCTCCGACAATCTTAGAAACATTTCCATCACGGACATATGATTAGAAAAGTGGGATAAACACATTGAACGAATCAACACTAACTCCCAACATAATAGAAAGAACTGCGCCTTTTCCTAGCCAGATAAGTTCAAAGAGAATATTCATAACACCGCCCAGCTCCCACGCGGTTCGCTTCGATCCAATACAATTCCCCCCCCAGTCTTCCACCCTCGATATTCCGACCAGCACCCCGTTCTACCAGGATGCCTGAAGTATGCTCACTCTCGCACATAAGATATATCGTACATGCATCGAGAAGAAGAGTCTCTCCTTCACAGATCAAGCGTCTTAAAGTCGGCGCCGCCATCAGCACTCAAAGGCTGAGCTCCAGCCCGGGCATCACCACCAACAGGCTGTAAGCTGTAGTGGTTTCCAATACCGGCAGTAGCAGCGTTGGCGAGCATGCTGTTAGTGTGCTCGTTGGGGCCTTGCAGACTCACAGCCTGGAGAGCATCCTGCGCTTCCTTAACGCGCTTCTTAAATGACATGCGGTCCAGGAAGAGTTGCTGGCGTGCCTGCTCGAGCTCGCGACGCTCGGCCTCGATAATCTCCTCCATCTCGTTGAACTGCTGCAGCTTGATCTCGAACTTCTGCAGAGTCACGTTGACAGCGGCACCGACGAGGCGGGTCATCTCGCGCTCCTCGTGGGAGGCGAGAGCTCCGGCGCGCGCGGCAGAGGCGGCCATTGCCACGGTCGAGAGTGACTCCTTGGGCTTCTCGCTTTGCTCGGCTACGCGGACGGTATCCACGTCCATTGAGTCCTCAGCCTTGACGTCTTTGCCCTTGTTGTCTCCCTTCTCCAGCTGGCTGCGCAGCTCCTTGCGGATTTCCTCGACGGAACGGCCGGCGGCTGCTGCTGCCACGGCGGGCTCGGCCATCTGGGCAAGGAAGGCTACTACCGACAGAACAGGATTCTCGGATTGGCTGATGGGATCCCTGCCTGCTGTGGTGCGGATATCGGGAATATCTTCAATGTATTTGTCCTCGATTTCGAGGGAGAGGAACTTCATCACGCACTCTTCGCGGGTTCGTGTACCCACGTGGTTTGCGATCTGCTCCCAGTTATCGTCGAAGTTCTCAAGGCCCTCCAGCAGAAGTAGGAGTTCTGAGTCAGCCCACGGAGCATCCTTGTCTGGAACATGGCTGTGGCTCTTGTCTTCCAGCTTCACGAAGTCTGAGGCATTATGGCTTGAGGGCATGCGTCCTTGGAGGAAGCAGTTGGGGCAAAGGTCGTATTTAGAGTCGGGAGTTGTCGCATTGGCTGATGTGGGTGTAGACTTGGCGTAGTGGAATCGAAGTCGTGTGCAGTCAATTCCACAAGAGAAACAATGAGACTTCTTCTTGGGCTCCTGTTCAATGCCATTCGTTCCGTCGCCATTGGTCTGCTTCTCGTCCGTAGAGGGGGTGACATCCTTGCCCTTGTTATCAAAGATGTTGCGGCGCAAGTCGAGGCCTTCGCCCTTGGTCGCGGGGGTCGAAGAGGCGGCACGTTCTGTGGCTGGGAGGGCCTTGCCGGAGGTGACGGTGGGGTTGGGACCAGGCTGGAATGGCTGCAATCCTCGGGGGGTATCGGCAATAACACGGAAGTGACCAGTGAATGGTGGTCCAATATTAGAAGGGCGGGATTGAGGATCAACCTAAAAATGTTAGCCGGATTTGAAAACGCGGACTAGACTACCCCAGATGAAAGGGTAAACTCACCTGGTAGTTGATCAGACCCCACTGCTCAAGGAAGGAATGAATACGCATGATGGCGCAAACGTCACCCGCCAGGTTGCGACGGCAAGCAGTGACCGTCAAGTATTCGATAGGGTTCAGGCGGTAGGTGTTGATCATGAAATCACGGTAATCCTTGTAAGTTGCCGGGGTCTTGCTGCGGTTGCGGCCATTGAAGAACTCCGCAATGGCCTTCTTCTCAATCTCGTGGACGGTGTTCATATCAAACCAGGTCGCGTAGCTGGGGAGAATGATGGCGTGGGTCTGAGTGACAAGCTGTTCGCGGGCGGCGGCCTCCAAAGATGATTTGGAGGGCGCGGGCTGCTCTTCGCCAACGGCATCTTCAATACCCTCGCCGGTCTGCTCAGGTGGTTGCGACTCTCCGGCCGCGTCTTCCAGGCCTTCAGTATCGCGTTTCGCATCGGTCTCGGTACCGCCCATCTCCTCATCCTCCTGCTCGACATCGTCATTGCGGCCCTTGGGAGAGGCAGGGGCATCAAGAGGGTTCTCGGATCCGGAATTTTCGGCCTTCTTCTCGGGTGACTCTTGACGTGACTGGGCTTCTGATTCCTGGGGTAAGCACTGACAAAGGATCCAGGGAGGTGGCTGGAAACAACGTACCTGATGCGCTGCCGGCATTGGTGATATCTGCGGCACTCTCGGTGCCAGTTACGGGCTGAGCATTCTCAGATGCCGCGCCGGGGTTAAGTGAAGTGTCGTCCATGATGGCTTGACGAAAGATAGCTGCTGTCGCGGGCAGCTGAAGATCGACTCCTGTCGCGGTCGTTCGCTGTGGTTCGCTGTCGACCTTGCGCAGCGCAACTTGGTTACGCGTGGCAAGGGCAGGTAGTTGGAAGAGAGTATTGGTCGAACAAAAAGACTGCCCAATTCAATGGGAAATCAAGCTAGGAAGTGATGATTGGACCGAGTGCTAGATCGCTGGGGGGAGGTGGATGTCGCGCCTCACGGAAAACTCGCGGTTGCTGCCAAGACATACGCTAACCGGATTGGGTTGGCGTGATTTGGATAAGATGCCGTATATTCCAGGCATCAATTTTGAAGTATTTGGTACATTTTATCACGCAAATTTCTCATTACTTGAATTTTATGCGATATCAATACAGCTTTTAGTAATTGAATATACCATAAAGGAATCAAAAAATAGTCTCTTCATGCAACTACATCTACTAGCACTGATATCGCAGGCCATTCAACTACTAGTAGTACACACATTCAAGTTCAGACATGTAACAAGTTACTAATTAAGATCCTATTCTTAGATACATATTACATATAGGTATCTCATAAGTAGTACTGCCATAATTCCCCGATATTCCATCTCTATGATTGCGCCGCCATCGCAGCAGCGCGGCCCTCCAACATCTTCGCAACAGAGGGCTTAGTCTTCTGACGTTCCAACCAAGCCGTAAGGTTGGGGTATTCAGAGATGCTGATACCCAGGAAGTCGGTAACACCGAACCAAGGAATAAAAGCAAGATCGGCAAAGCTCCATTTGTCACCGACCAAGTATTCCTTACCCTTCAGGGCGCGGTCCAGTACGCCCGAGACACGGCGAATTTCATTGTAGTATCGCTCCTTGGCGCTCTCGATCTGCTCTGGGTGGTAACGAGTAAACCAGACAGCCTGGCCAAAGTAAGGACCCTGACCGCTCATCTGGAAGTGCAGCCACTGCTTGGCGAGGTAGTATTCCTGCGAGCCGGGGGCGAAGCTAATGGTGTTCTCCTTGTCGTAGGTCTCGACGAGGTATTCCAGGATAGCGCCGGATTCCCAAAGGGTGATGCCAGTGTTGGGATCTTCAATTGCGGGGACTCGGCCGTTGATGTTGATTGACTCGAAGGGCTCCTTCTTCATATCTGGGAAGGCGACTTCCTTGGTTTCATAAGGGATGCCGAGTTGCTCAAGGACAATGACAACCTTCCATGGGTTGGGGCCGACGCCGTGGGCATAAAGAGTGACGGGCTTGAGAGACATGATTGTTTTGTGGTAAAGGCTGTTAGATTGACTGAATGAATTGAATTGATGCAATTGAATGATTAGCCAGAAGAGGACGAATTCAAGGTCTTAAATCGTGCGTGATTCCGCATTCTTACTTCATAGTAAACTCCGGGCCCACTTTTCATTATTCAGGCTTCGGCATCGGAGCTTGGCTTACAAATGATAAACCACGTATCACACAGAAAGTGCGGGATGGACGCCGCGATTTGTTCCCAGGGATTCTCAGGGGTTCCAATAGGGTCACTTGAAACAACATCACTGTGTATCATGACCTCAGTGTCTAATGTGCTATTCGTCCAAGCTAAGATCATCAATCAGCAACCGCCCGCATTCGGCCGAAGTTAGTCATCAAGGTCCTATCACTTATCTCCGATCTCCGTGCAAAGAATACGACTTCTGCGGGGGATGCGGCATCTGGCAATGTGATTGGGACCAAGAATGAAACGGATTTCATCTCAATCCCTGCGGGATTCGCGCTTTCGGGCTCATATCTCACTCAGCCGGGCAAGTGAGGGGCCAAGCTTGTATGTAAGCAATGGTCAGCAGAGTCCTTGAGGCGTGAAAGAATGATTCGTATTAAAGGGTAGCATGCAGGAGAAGGAGCAACAAAAGGTTGGTAGATGCCACTTGCAAGTTGAATGAGTCTCATCTGCAGTTGTAGGAGGAATCAGCACCACATGTCGAAGACAATATCTTTCCCATCCTCCTCGTCGCTGCTGACAATTCCACTGCTGACGAATCTCGTTTCACACTGTTATAGGATTTGGTAGCGACGCCCTTGCAAGAATTCGTGGAGACGTGACAAGCTGTGATCCGCAGATAGTGGGAAAGGCGGGGGATGATTTGCTGTTCACCAAGACCGGAGGGCGTGTTTTAGCGCGACTATGAAGAGTCATTCCTCTCAGCCCCATCCAGCATCCACTTGATTTGAACTGCCCTAGCCAAGCCTCTCGGGTTAGTTTTTTCTTTCTACGGAGTACAAGGTCTGACCAAACCCTTTAGATCTGCAAGTCCGATGCAAATTTTGCGTCGCCTCAATCAAGTTGCACCAGCTAAACGGCCCCACAAGGCGATCTAGCAATGTTCGTATTAGTTGTCGGAGTAAAAAA